CTTACTCGGTTTCTGAACTGGAATTCTATGGGCTTCCAGACGGCCAGACCGAGTATTACCATCCCATCCTTCTAGAGTTCATCACAAGTAGCACCCACCTTGAAGATCTTTGACACCCAGACACACCCCATTGGCGAACAAACTTTGGATATAATCTTACATGCTCCCGAAGGAATCCCTGGTTTATGGTCTTTCTCATCGTCACCAGCACTTTCACTAGGTCACCAGCTCTTTCACTGAAGTCATCAGCCCTTTCACTGAAGTCATCAGATGTGACTCTGATCAACGGTATAGTTGTGGACACAACAAGAAAATTGAGAATAATCTTGTGCGAGGGTAGGGACCCAGATGTCGTTTCTAACCCAAATAAACTTTAAGGAGGCTTCTCATCAGTAGCCGCACCTCCTTACTCGGTTTCTGAACTGGAATTCTATGGGCTTCCAGACGGCCAGACCGAGTATTACCATCCCATCCTTCTAGAGTTCATCACAAGTAGCACCCACCTTGAAGATCTTTGACACCCAGACACACCCCATTGGCGAACAAACTTTGGATATAATCTTACATGCTCCCGAAGGAATCCCTGGTTTATGGTCTTTCTCATCGTCACCAGCACTTTCACTAGGTCACCAGCTCTTTCACTGAAGTCATCAGCCCTTTCACTGAAGTCATCAGATGTGACTCTGATCAACGGTATAGTTGTGGACACAACAAGAAAATTGAGAATAATCTTGTGCGAGGGTAGGGACCCAGATGTCGTTTCTAACCCAAATAAACTTTAAGGAGGCTTCTCATCAGTAGCCGCACCTCCTTACTCGGTTTCTGAACTGGAATTCTATGGGCTTCCAGACGGCCAGACCGAGTATTACCATCCCATCCTTCTAGAGTTCATCACAAGTAGCACCCACCTTGAAGATCTTTGACACCCAGACACACCCCATTGGCGAACAAACTTTGGATATAATCTTACATGCTCCCGAAGGAATCCCTGGTTTATGGTCTTTCTCATCGTCACCAGCACTTTCACTAGGTCACCAGCTCTTTCACTGAAGTCATCAGCCCTTTCACTGAAGTCATCAGATGTGACTCTGATCAACGGTATAGTTGTGGACACAACAAGAAAATTGAGAATAATCTTGTGCGAGGGTAGGGACCCAGATGTCGTTTCTAACCCAAATAAACTTTAAGGAGGCTTCTCATCAGTAGCCGCACCTCCTTACTCGGTTTCTGAACTGGAATTCTATGGGCTTCCAGACGGCCAGACCGAGTATTACCATCCCATCCTTCTAGAGTTCATCACAAGTAGCACCCACCTTGAAGATCTTTGACACCCAGACACACCCCATTGGCGAACAAACTTTGGATATAATCTTACATGCTCCCGAAGGAATCCCTGGTTTATGGTCTTTCTCATCGTCACCAGCACTTTCACTAGGTCACCAGCTCTTTCACTGAAGTCATCAGCCCTTTCACTGAAGTCATCAGATGTGACTCTGATCAACGGTATAGTTGTGGACACAACAAGAAAATTGAGAATAATCTTGTGCGAGGGTAGGGACCCAGATGTCGTTTCTAACCCAAATAAACTTTAAGGAGGCTTCTCATCAGTAGCCGCACCTCCTTACTCGGTTTCTGAACTGGAATTCTATGGGCTTCCAGACGGCCAGACCGAGTATTACCATCCCATCCTTCTAGAGTTCATCACAAGTAGCACCCACCTTGAAGATCTTTGACACCCAGACACACCCCATAATTGATAAAGTAAGCAAATTCTATAAGTAGTTTCAACCCTGTGGAGCCACGCCCATATTTCATATCAGGTGCGTATATGGGAAATATGTATCTCAGCTTCTGAAGGTCTTAGAGACTCAAACTTGAGTTTAAAATGACCGCAATGCACATGTTTATTTTAGTACTATGAAGGTCATGAAAGCCCAAAATGCTTATTTTTGGAAAAAATTTAGAAAAACTGATTTTCACAAGCAAAAAATCTACTCTAGAAGTTAAGTGAAATCGAGTGTGAAGTTCAGTGTCTACAACGTTTCTAAACATAGGATCCTTTGTAAGATCATTCTGAATCAGAATTGATAAGGTATGCAAATTCTATTAGTAGTTTTAACCCTAGGGTGCAAAACTCCTAAATTACCCCCAGGCGCAAATATATGACTTTTCTATCTCGGCTTCTGAACGTTGTAGGGGCCTCTCTTTGAGCTCAAACTAACTACAATGGCCACATTTATATACCGACTATAAAGCAACATAGGGTCTATATAGCTTAGTTTATAGAAATTCATTAAAAACTGTTTTAACCTTCATGCATCATAAAATAGTAATATGATCAAACATGTACTTAATAATGATATCTCGGGCTAAAAAGATATTTGCAGCACAGTAAAACGTTCAACATAAACACATTAGGATAACATTTATGGAGCAGCACATACCACCTAACTTTAATTTTGGTATAACTGCGAAAATACTCAGTTTCAGAAGGCTGCCTTCAGCTCCCTCTCTGGGGCTCTCTCCAGTACTGCTCGGCTATTATGGCTCTAGGTCAACTCTACCCAGCTACCACCATACGTTATAATTTTAGATCTTATAACCTCTGATATGAGTGCTACCTCCGCTGCATCCAACAATTTCCAGCTCATTAAGGAAGAGGGAATTTGTCTGATGGTTGCTAGATAGGGCAAGAAGTAGTCCACTAACCTAAGCTAAGATTGCTAGAAATAGCAGAAGTTGGAGGAACCTTGGTGGTAGCTAAAGAGATAGTAGCCGAAGTAGGTGAAAACAGCTGGAATCGGTGGTATAGTAGCTGGATAGAGGAAGAGGTAGCATTCATATCAGAGGTTGCTAGAAAGATCTAAAATCATAACGCACTGGTGGTAGCTGGGTAGAGACTAGAGATGATGCATGAAGGTTAAAAAAGTTTTTAATGAATTTCTAAAAACTAAGCTGTATAGACCCTAAGTTGCTTTGTGCTTTATAGTCGGTATATAAATGTGGCCATTGTAGTTAGTTTGAGCTCAAAGAGAGGCCCCTACAACGTTCAGAAGCTGAGATAGAAAAGTCATATATTTGCGCCTGCAGGGGTAATTTAGGAGTTTTGCACCCTAGGGTTAAAACTACTAATAGAATTTGCATACCTTATCAATTCTGATTCAGAATGATCTTACAAAGGATCCTATGTTTAGAAACGTTGTAGACACTGAACTTTACACTCGATTTCACTTAACTTCTAGAGTAGATTTTTTGCTTGTGAAAATCAGTTTTTCTGAATTTTTTCCAAAAATAAGCATTTTGGGCTTTCATGACCTTCATAGTACTAATATAAACATGGTCATTGCGGTCATTTTAAACTCAAGTTTGAGTCTCTAAGACCTTCAGAAGCTGAGATACATATTTCCCATATATGCACCTGATATGAAATATGGGCGTGGCTCCACAGGGTTGGGACTAGCGACACAAAATTCCCCCCTCGGTGATTTGAGTTACCAATGACCTATTTAACCCGATTCAATAGCAAAAAACTCTATACATCGAAGTGCACACTCAACACCTCCCTGCTACTGGAGTAATAATGGAAAAGGAAAATACTACCCTGAGCTTTAGCAAAATCATGATACCTTTCTTGGGTCCGAGCGCTTTGGTGACTGTTGTTGGGATAATTACCAATCTACTGTCTCTGTCTTACTACGTTACTCAAAGAAGGTCCAATGATAGAATGAACACGACGGAGACCCTCAACAAGCGACTATTCATTTTTCTGAACTTCTTTGATATTCTTGTGTGTATCTCTCTAATGGGGTGGCTGCTTCTCGATTACCTTGACGAGTACGACACAGACGAGGAAGCTCAATACTTAATGAAACAAGCGTTTGTGGTAACAGTGGAGTGTACTGGGTTTATAACGTGTTTACTTTCGGTGGTAAGAACAATAAGCATCATCTGGCCACATCATCAACTCAACACCCATCTCATAATTGTTGCATCAATAGTTTTCGGATTGGTTACAGTTACTTTGAAAACTTTAGATGTTGTGGACAAGACATTGAGAAATACTACGGATTCTGTAAAATTCTTTTTCTTACTCATCATGTTTGTTATCGTAATTTTCTGCAACGCCCTGTGCATCGCAAAACTTGTTTTCTCACAAATGGCCTCCTGGAAGAAGGATGCAACAATAACTATGGAAATACTATCAATCTTGTATTGTATCTGCAACATAGGATTTTTGGTCATCTGCTGTTTCCGCTTCTTCGATAACAAGTGCGACTTCACGGTTCATTACTGTCTTCACCCTGCATTTGAAATAACGTGCTTGTACATTTTACTTCCTCTTAACTCAGCATGCAATCCAATTGTATACTTTATCAGAAACGCAGAAATGAGAAAATATCTGATTAAAATAGGCGGGAGAATCCTACGGTTATTTAAGTTCACAGAATTGAACTTGGAGGATCGACAAGGACAAAACGTAACAATTTCTGATGAAACCAGGCCACAAGGAGAAGGAAAATGAGAGGAATTGGAGAGAAATTGTTCAAAGAGAAAAATAAGAGGAATGGAACAAGCGATCAAATTGAGATGACAGCGAGGGGTTCAAGAACGATAAGATATGTTCACTAATATGATAATATATAATACCTACGCTGAAGCTTGACAATGTTGTTTTTATTTTAGTTTTACATCGGTGATAGGATCCTCGATTCTATCCATCAATCGATCCACTTCAAGATTCGAAGGGCAATACACATTTGAATATGAAGCTCGAAAGACGACAATAGGTTGTCACTAAGTTTCCTTATTTTACTCAATACTTCGTCGCTTTAATATACACTCGGTGATAAATCAAAACCAAGTTACTATCTTTATTTGGGATAATTTTGATTTGATTCATCCAGGTGCAAGATTTGAAGAATAGTGAACACTCTCATATGCCAATTGCTAAAACCCATAAGTGAACTTATTATATATTCTCTAAAGAAGTTCTGACTTACGCTTCTGATATCTTCGAGTTGAGATTTGAGTCTCTGTTCGGAAGCTTGCAACATTACAACCTCCTGAAATAAAATCTTGATTTAATAAAGTGTTACTCGGAGTCTGTACTATTATATGGTTTCGTTACTCGATATTCAGCTAAATTCATGAGCGTACAATAACATGCTCCACAATGTCGAAAAGAAATGAGCAGTCAAGCTTATATTCATTTTAAATGCATTCAGTCTGCTCACATTCTATTATTATAAGTTTTATATGATCCAAAACTATGCTTTTAGGTAGGTAGGGTATGTACTTAAGTAGGTACAATGTAAAAATTACGCAAGTCGGGGTCAGGATCAAGTTTTCAAATTTCTGGGTGGCATGCAAAAATCTAGACATGCAACCTGTAATTTGACGGTGAAAACAGACCTTAAGCAAGACTAATGCGGCACACAAATCCTAACGCAAATAATTAAAAGCGATAGAAACCCTCGTAGTTTATTATGGTTTAATATGGCATAAGTTTGTATTTTGATAATTATAATTGGTATACCAGGCTTGTTGTCGCGAGACAAAATTATAATTAGGGGAATTATGATTAGTGGAACCGAACTGGGATCGAACATAAGTTACGGGGGGAACAAGATGTGAAGTGTGGTGAGAGCAGAAATGTCATGAGACGAGGTCTACCTCTCTTCCACTGCGAACTATGAAAGTGAAGTTGAAACAGGGACTGTTCGGGAAATAAATTGTGGGGTTAACACCAGACTTGAACCGGACAGCATGTAAAGTATAATATGTACTGTATGACGTGTATGTCTGTATGTTTGTTGGGTGGCATCTTCTTGTTCTTGTGTTGATCGATACGCCTCCATCCGATATGTTAAGATTGATGCAAGTCAAAGAACAGAAACGGGCTAAGACAATACCCTGGGCTATTGTGTAGGGAAGACAAAACAAAATGAACAAATATCAAGTGCTAACAAGTGCTACTTCCATGCTCTTAACATGGAAGATAATATAGAGAATGTTGGCTGAACTTCGCACTAATGCTGTGACAGGCTGTTACAGCCGGCTTCTTTGATATTCATTACAACTACTGTAATCTACGAGTTTTTGTGACAGACGATGTAGCAGTCTTATCACTAATGTAAGTGTAACACATATCTGCTGTAAGTCAATACGTAATCATAAGAAACTATGCGGTTTAAAATCATCGGACTGCTAGTGATACCCGCAATTTCAGTAAAGTCAGTAAATAAGGGATAGGACGGAAAGTGTGAACACCTTGGTGGAATTTTTTTAAAGCAAGGGGAAGGTGGTTTAAGTTGTAGTTGGTTATTGCAGGGGTTATCTAAGGAAATCTTACTCAGGGGCATATTAATGCTACCTAGGGGTATATGAGGGGTCGCAAACTACTTTTCAGTTTTCAGTGCATTTTCTATTTTCTATGTCATCATATTGTGCTGATTGAGCTTACAAAGTTCTGCATAGCGGCTTGAGTCTTTGACCTCTGATTTGAGATCCTCAAGTGGGTTATATTCTGAAACAAGAACTGAACCGCCTTATCAGTATGCTCGTTGACAAACAATACTTCAATTTTGACTAATATACAATATTGAAAGGGTAAAATTGTAAGTTAAATATAAAAGAAAGATTAGATAAGTAGATGCCTTCCGTTTAATGCTAACAATAGGGGTGGGGAAGTTGATTTGCTAATACGTGTTGAAGCCACTGATTAATTGTTAAGGCATTTAAATCTCAATGGGCCAAGTTATCAGGCAGCCGTAAGTGGTACCAACTAGATGGTGCTTTTGGCTAGAGCACAGAGAATCAAGGCCTAGTGACAAGATAACTATGATCGACATTCCAACAGGAGCTGTTAATTTGCCTATCCTTTACACCCTCGTCCCTCATACTGTAATATTTAAATTCTCACAATTTGAGCAAGGATGCGGGATTTCTTTGACCACACGTAATACTTATAGCTGGCTGTAGAATGTTCAATTATCTTTTGTAATTTTTTAGCGACCCGAAGGATTGCAGAACTTTAGATCATGAATCATAATTAAATTCTATTCGATTGAAAGTTTCGATTGTAACAGGGTATTTCGATTCGAAACACCCTGTTACAACATAATATCTTGTCCTTCGTCCATATTTACTGGAATATTTTTTCGGTAATGATAATAATAAATATATCATAGTCATACCATTTTAAAGAAAACTGGTCCCCATTACAGATTTTCTTGTAGATCAAAGCGTCAAATGTCAATCTTAGCGAACTAAAGCATCAGTTACCTTTTCTCTCCAGTATTAGTAAGGAGTAAAAGCGATTTTTAAAGAAATTGGGTTTTGGCACTGGAGATTTGGCGGATCACAGAATTTCGACTGACTACGCCAAGAATCAGCTTACATTCCAGCAGGCAAACACTGTAGCTAAAGAAACTTGATAAAAATAAAAGCAGCCAGTTTGAAGCCTTGTTCAGCCATACAAATTGTTGTCATGGAGATTTTGACGCACCTGGATCAAGGAATCGACCTCTTTAGTCTTCGCCAGCTGAGTTTCCGTACTCTCCGCCTGAGAAGTGATGGTCAGCAGCTGTTATCACTAATCAAGTAATAACTTGGCGCCACCCGCTTTTTGTGTATGTGGTGAAGTAACGAACTTGTAGTATATCATCAGTACCGGGCCATTATGTTTGTCAAATTTTAATGAAGTTAAATGAAGACTGAGGAGGTTTGGTAGGTTTTTATGAGTTTTGTGATGATGGGTCACGATTTGTTTGGTACTAGGGGAGTTGGGGAATTCTCCTGAAGATAAAGAAATTCTCGTTTTCAAAAATAAAATGCGTGAGAGGAGTATGTGGATGAGAGGAAATGACATCTTTCAGTCACAAGAGTCCATGGAACTACCACAAACAATGTGGGAATTGTCTAGTTGTAAAGATTACCACAGTTCTAAGATAAAATTACAAAGATTAGGCCCTGTAGCGCTGTATGTGGTTTCGTGATGCCAGGTAAAAGGGGGTATAACAACGTAGGCTCATTGTTATTGTTTAACGACTGTCCTTCGTCTTAAAAATCGTTTAATTATTGATCATCCAAACTGACAAAATGAATCAAATTCGTTTTTAATCTAATCTATAGTTCTTTCAGTGCCCCATTCTGAAGAATGGTGAGCAAGGTGACCTGTCAAAAATACGAACGGCTACCATGACCGCCATGACGCACGGACGCAGTTGGCTTACAACACAAGCCTCCACGTGGGCGAGAACATGACCCGTCAACGTGACTTCGTACTTCGATAAGTGGATGGTTACGGAGTGCTTCGACTGCAAGCTGGATCTTGACCACTTCACAAACAAATGACCTCCAAAGGTCACAGTTTCACCGGGTATACGGTATCTTAGAAAATTATGATCAATCGCAACGAATTGCTTACGTGGAATTTTACCCCATCCTTAAACCGATCCTTTGCACACAGCTCCGCTGATCCCAGGGTTCATTCTAGATTTCTTCAGAATGAGTTGGCAGCTTTTCTTAGTGGTGCTTTCTTTAAAGCTTAGCCTTAACATTGCGATAGTAAAATTCCCTGTACTATTGTTCGTCAAACCCGGAGACGACTTTGATTTGGATTGCATAATAGAATTTGAAGGAGTCATAGATAAAATATACCACCCAAAGGATGATATTCCGTCCGGCAGAGAGCTTGAAAAAGAAAGCCAGCAGATCCCCAATGAAAGATTCCTTGATGAAGCTGAACGTGTCAAGAGTTTGAATTACACGAGCGCAACGGAAGAAGACCATCAAGGCTACTACACGTGCATATCTTACCGTAAAACTGGCTTTCCTCGAGTAGAAACGGCCACGTGCTATGTTATAGTCCAAGATCCTTGCGATGGTGTAACCTGCCCCGCCCGACACACTTGTGTTCCGGACATGGAAACATTTACTCATGAGTGTGTGCCACCACCTACTACCAAACCACCTACTACCCAACCACCTCCTACTACCAAACCTCCTACTACCAAACCTCCTACTACCCAACCACCTCCTACTACCAAACCTCCTACTACCCAACCTCATACTACCAAACCTCCTACTACCCAACCTCCTACTACCAAACCTCCTACTACCAAACCTCCTACTACCAAACCTCCTACTACCCAACCTCCTACTACCAAACCTCCTACTACCAAACCTCCTACTACCCAACCTCCTACTACCAAACCTCCTACTACCAAACCTCCTACTACCAAACCTCCTACTACCCAACCTCCTACTACCAAATCACCAACAACAGAACCAAAGGCTCCGACCGAACCACCTGGATCGCTCCCGGTATGTAGTACATTTCCCGGAGGTGCTGTCGAACAGTTCGACACTGTCGCTTCATACTACGATCTGGCGTGCAGTCATGTGCTAGCTGCTGATTTCCTTCCTGGTGGAGACTATACACAAGCTTGGTACATCTACGGTACATTCGATCAACATGATGGGAATACCGCTCTCTCGACCATAACAATCTTTGCTGGAACCACTGTCTTTGAATTTCAGCGAGGATGGAAAGTCAACATCGGAAAAGGCAAGTTTGAAGTTGAAGAGGACGTTCCACGAACATTCGGAAATTGCAAAATTACCTTCACAGGCCTCCATCTAAAAGCTGAATGCCCTCATTTCTCTGCGTACTACGATGGTCTGATGTCCGGCCACGTCATCCTTGGCAATTCTCAGACACCTCTCTCGACAGAGACTCCAGTTAAAGGTGGATCAAGCCTGGGTCTCTGCTGGGATAACGACTCTGGGTTCAGAGCCAACTGGCAAGTTGCCCACTCACCTCAGTGCAAGGTGGATCCTCAACAAGATGCTTGTGAGGTGACAGACGAATGTGACAACTTCAAGAACGCCGTGATTCTAGGTGAACAGTCCTCTGGACTGGGAGCTTACGATAGCTGCGGTCAGCTGCACTGCGAGGAGATGGTCCCAACACCTGCCCAGCAGTGTGCTCTCAACCGGGCAGACTCGGTCAACCGTTCTCTCAAAAGTTATGGTCAGGCAGCTGAAGGAATGGTAGTTGGGTGTCCTGAGGAGGAGTGTGAGTGGAAGCTGGATCTCTTATCTCGGGGCTGCCCTCAGAAGAATCCTCCATTCAAGTGTTAGGACATTCTCAGATTTAAAACTTTACCAACCGAGAGATATGTTGATATGTAACTGTACTTTTTTATTGTATGGAAAAGGTTTTTGAAAAAAATAAAAATGACTATGAATGTTCGGCCAAATCGATGATGAATGAAATAAATTATGCCAAATTGCTTAATAAGTGGTCATGCTATTCCAAGGAGAGCTTAATTAGAGTTGCCAACTCGCTATTTATTATCGATTTCCAAAATGAGTTGTTGCTAATGTTGGCTGTTTCATTATTCTTAAAGTTTTAAAGAATCCGTATATAAATCTTATTGTATACAGCAATTATTGCCAAAATCTCGTTCAAATGTTCAACAATTGGTGTCGATAAAAATCTATATTGAGAAAAATGACATTAAATCTATTGAAATTAATCCATATGAACTTGATAAGAACTTGATAAGAACTTGATAAGAACTTGATAAGAAAATGAAATTAATTTTATGGATTTTTGAAAAAAACTGTACCTTTTTCTTAAGATCCTCTAGCTGTAGCTTTGCCCTGTGGTGCTGCCTCGCCTCTGATGCCTGAATGGATGAGTGATGTATCAATTAGATTTGAAACTGATAATAGAAAATAAAGTAAAAATTTCTTCATAATAAACGAGCAATGCAATTTGTTCCAAATTATGCATACATTATGTCCATGTTGATAGAATAGTCGCACTAGATATAAAACTTACCCGAGCCTTGTCAATCTCGATGATGTGCCGTCTTAACACCCGTTCGGTTTGTCGCATGTCCGTCATTTTCTGAAGATCACAAAATTATTCAGTGCCCCAAACTTGGATTAAGAACATGCTATTGAGTTAACCAATTGGAGCAGATTTTTCAGTATCGTTTTCAGTATTGCCTTGTAATCTAAATCAGTACATTGGCTTCCTTTAATTTATCACAGTCCCGTTTAGAAAGATTAGAAAGTTTCTACAGCTGTTTTAATTCTACAAAGTTTTCAATTTTCAGCTGATTCTGACACTATTGTCAATAGACGGGATGGCAATGATCTAAATTACTTAATTAGGAAACGACCAAAATTTCGGCTCGGGTTTTGGCTGTTTTTTACCGGTTCGGTTCGAGTTCGGCAAAACTTTTACCGAAAGTCGAAACACAGCCGAACTTTTTATCAATTCCATGAAATGAAACCAGTGGTATAATGCTTTTCTCGGCAATAAAATCCTCTTTGCTACTCTGCAGAACATATTTTTACATACTGGGAATGTAAAATTACCGAGTTGTTAAATTGCAATATGAGGAAAAAACGCTAACACGCGTATTAATTCATTAATTCATTAGCATATGTAATATACATATGTTTGAGCTCTTCTCAAACACAAGGATATATTCTTGTGAACTCGGCTAGTATATATGAAACATTTGTCATGGAGTTGTAGAGGGAGTTATGTGCCTCGCCGGGCTAAAGTAGTGGATGACCTTGCTGTACGGCAAGTTAAACAAGGATCTGAAACTACTAGGTTCCGTACAGACTCAACTCTGCACCCGTGTCAATATGTTCATTATATGCAAGCCTCTTGATTTATAAGCCTATAATTAGAAGTTGAAGTTCGGTTCGGTCGGCAAAAATGCCTGGTTTTATCGTTTCCTCATCCAAATCTGCAAATAATCTGACAATAATTGGAAATAAATAACTGCACATCCGATATTTTTGTGAACAACTGATTTGAATCCAATCTGCAAAAACATATGTTGTCTGCGCATTAAACGTTTCTCAAGGCATTCTCAGTACTAGCGCTAAAAGAACTATATAGAGGCCCAAATATTAAGAATCAAATAAAATGTGAGACCGGAAAAATAAAACCATCAGTTATAACTCTAAAATTCCACTGTGACATACTCTATATCAGTAAATATACCCATTAAACTGATTAAATCCTAGGAATAGAGCTTCTCCTAATTATATTGTGACAAATTGACTAAGTATGTCTTTAAACCAATTTAAACATATCTTTTTGATATCAAGCCAGTGGAGATTCCGTAAATCATCTTCCAGTTCCATGTGATCATGTTTATATTTCCCAGTCATAGCTTTTGCATCAGCATTCTATATACCTCAGACTTTATATGAACGGACATGAAGAAATATGATTTATTTTTCAGCTGTTTCTCAAAAGTCCGTCATCTGTCTCATCTTAGTTATTATTTGTATCTAACATTAACTAATTGGGACACTATAATAAGCTGAATAAATGAATTTAATTGCTCTTGTCAGCGGAGATGTTCGGCGTTTTATATTTATTGTGTTTATTTTAATTAACAGTGACCATAGAGGTAAAGGGATTGCAACGTTGAAATGTTTGTTAAAATTCTGACGTTATAACGTCATCAATACGTTCACAATCACAATCAATACCTTCACATTTCACCTCCTAAGTCCTAGTATAACTAAATTTGTTAACATCTCATCCCTCTTATTCACTTCATATCCACCTGCTCCTTTGAGATGATTGCAGAAGGTGCGATCAGCTCGTATTTCAATCTGCTTAAGTAACAGTGTCTTGTTCGTTATTGAACCTGTATTGTTTACCTACAATTACATTAGGTAGAATCAGTAGATTATTTGATCATGTTGCCAACTATACTAGCAAAAACGTGTCCCCACGCGCTGGGGTGAGCTACATTCGATCTAAGAAGAGTGTTAATCCTGTTTATTGGCCCGTTAATTTAATAACATTGTTTGGCTGTAATTTGAATTTTGATACCGATCTACTGACTTTTGTTATGCACTTTATTGTTACATCGTTGTAGCAAACCTTCTCAATCTTCAATATCCTGAGATTTTAATATCTAAAACGCAACTTATATTAATTAATAGCGATAGTTAATACATTCTAGTCGTTTATGATGAGATTTGACAAGTTTTTCTGCTACGGATGCACAATATGTTTCTTGCTAGTTATATTCGGGTCCATATGTTTTTCTCTCGGGTCTTCTCAAGTTAACATACCATGTACGGTAAGTGTCGTTAAAATATCGTGTATTATGTAATTGTATGCAACTAAATTTTACTTTCGCTGGCTTGTAGCTGCATTTCAGGAGTACACTTAGCTTATAATATATTAATATTGGTTTATGAACAAGAATTGCGCCCGTTGTTTCGTTTTGGCGGACGCTAGATTTCCGTTCACTATAACTATAAATATAAGCTCCAATCAGCTCACTTCATAATAATAATATTGATACACATCAGTACGCAAAACTACGCATGCCACGTACAAATTGGGCTTATAAGCTAATACTATACATTGCATAGTATACATCAAAATACACTCGCGCCGCGCATTCATTGACAGGCAAGCTTTATACATCACATCTCCGCAAGCAATACTCGCGCGCTGCACTGCGCGCCAGTTGTCATGGGAACGGACGGAAGTAAGCAAGGACAGATGACAACATATTCAAACCCACCTACTGCTATCTCCAAAATCCACGTTTTTCTGCAAAAACGTCCATTCGTAACCTTTCACTATTGCCTTTTTACAAAAGGGTGAACAGAAAAAATCAACATCCCGTGTTGCGCCCTCTTTGGCATTGCTAGCTCGATGTTTTTAAAAATGGAAATATGTATAAAGCTTTTCCAAGTTTATTTAAACAGAAGTCCGAATCCAAATATTTATTGTCACTATTGAATTCAGAACGACCAAAAGCTCGAAACCTCCCTTGCGTCTCTACACCTACCCCAAACTGAGGAGTTTATTCAAACTGACCAATTGTGTCCTAATACAGAGTGAGATATTTTGATATTTTGACCCTCATATATAAGATTTCAATGAGTTAATTTTGTAATATCACAACCATTTGTTACATAAACGTTACATCATAAAGAGTAAATTAAAACGCTTGAGAGCCACTCACGCTGAACATCAACAAATGTTTTATTCAGAGAGTTCGCGGAAGAAAACGAACGAAAGTTGGATTGGATACAGTCACAATGTAACAACACTGTCAGATCTAAACTTTCTGAAATCTTGGAGATGTTTTACTTTCCGTAAGTTCATCTAACTATAACTTACAACAGAGACATTAAATTTATATGGACAGCTGACTTTTCTTGGGGAAATTATTTATAAATCGAACGCTGGAGTGCTTAGCGTCCTCGTGATGTCCGCCCAAATTACGGTATAAAGAGGCAAGGTATAGAAAATTTTAACTGTACATTGTGTCATTGTACAGTCTTTGCAAGTCTATAAATGTCAAAATTTTCAATACATGATCGATTTTTCGGGCTTTAGGTTGAGATTGAAAACTACAATTTAGTTTTCTATTTTCGATTTCTACTTTCTACTTCTTCTAATTTTTCAGCAAATCTTTGTTGGGATGGTGTCCAGTGTACAAGGCAGCGTCCTCAAACGTGTTTGCACATTTCTGCAGCGACTATTTTGATGACGAAACATGTCAGGATAAACATATTAAAATGAAGCACTTCGAAGGAGGCTTTAGAGAATTAGAGGATTTCAAAAAAAAGGTTAGTGAGTACGGACGATTTCTGAATGGTGTTTACCTTAAGACTAAAGAGGAGAAACGATTTTTGGTGGTTCGAGATCCTTTCAGAAGATTACTCTCCCTTTACAGAAACAAAGTGGAGCAGTCAAGCCACCCAGCTTTATTTGAATTATATACTTTCGTAAACTTCATGATACATTATCGGCCAATAAAATGGATTACAAAATCTGAAATATATGATAATAAAAGGCAAGTGCTAGCTAGGGCGGTAATTGACTATGCAGCATCGATGACAGAGGGCAAAAATGAGAAGAAACCAGAAGAAGACAACCCATATTTATATCCACCATATCCCACATTTAAGGAGATTGTGGATGCAACGATAGCCGGTTGGAAGGACAATCACATCATTCCAGCTAGTCAGAGATGTGGTCCATGTGGTTCAACTCAGTAAGCAACATAATTTGATAATATATGGAAAATATCAGAGTTGAAAAATACGTGAGATAATTTTTTAAATACGCCGTATTTAACGTTTTTTTGCTTAGAAATAAAATACGTCAAAAATACGTTAAAATACGTTTGCCTATTTTTTTCGTAATTGCATTCAAAAACTTAATAAGTTATGTCTTTCGTTCGCAATTTTTTCAGACACATCGTCATTACGGTTCAATTTCATTTATTTTGTTCCCTTGAACGGGATTGGAATTTACTTTTGGAATTGAACGCAGAAAAATATTCATATTTGTGTAGAAAATCGTCCGTAAAAAAGTTTCAATAAATACACAATTAAGAACACAATTACTCAGATGAATCGTAATCATCATTGAAATCACATTTCTCCATGTTTTGGATAAGTCGAAGGTTGGCATTAATGCCTACTAGCTTTATGGCCTTATCCGTTGCTAGTCTATTTCTGCGTTTATCAACAATATATTCCCAAGAGGACCAGTTAGTTTCACAGGCAGAAGCACTACAGACGAGGCTCAGAATTTTAGCGCGCAATAATTCGTATTTGCACGCTTTGGTACGCTTTAGCACGTGCACAGTTCCCTTAAATCATACGCGAGGTGATCAACTACAGAGCTACGCGAGTTTTAATCAAACTTTTAACTTGTATGATTAGAAATAGCACTTATTATTTCATTGGAGCTCTTAATGCTACAAAATCACTTGTAACGTATTTTAACGAATTTTATTCAGCGAAAATAAAATACGCCGTATTTAACGTTTTTTGATATTTTATAAAATACGTTAAATACGTATTTTTCAACTCTGGAAAATATACTATGTAACTTTTGGAGAATATACCATAAAAACTATATCGCTACCAACAATTATGGTTTTCATCTGCGTCCCTATAGCAAGGAACGATGTTCATACAATTAAACAATTCAGATACGATTTTCTGCTTAAAGCGGAAACATTTGACTGTGATTTCAAAAATATGTTCAACCTAACCGGCAACCTCAGACTCATCGTAAGTAAACAAAAGAAATTATATAAGTATATATAAACTAAACGGATTCATTTCAGCTTTAGCCCATTTCCAATGCAACAATTTTTATGAGAAAATATACCTGATAATCTCTCCAGAAAAACAGTGAGAGATGGATGAAAAACCAGACCCCTGCCCTGAATATGACAATGTTCTACAGCTACTACTCCACCCTGTCAACGGAACAGTTAGACGGCCTGCTCTACCTTTACGAGGACGACTGTTTGCTCTTCCAGTACCCATGTGCAAAGCACGTGGGAAATATTAAACAATTTAAATTATTAAATCCTGATTTTAAGCATGAGTATAAAAACACTTGGTCGGGAATAATTGTTGATCCGGACACTATTAGCTAAATTAATGAATTCTATGATTTCATAGCTCTTGTCTGCATCTAAGACTGCAGAAATTGTTGTTGTTTTATATTAACTACGTATATTAATTACGTATATCATATTAATAAAAACTCGTTAGCTTCTTATATTTAGGGAAGGTACTAAAAGATTCGTTTTATCAAGCTGATTACGATTCTGTAAAAATTATTTCAAAAAACTGATACTTTTTGAGTTAATGGCAGATTTTAAGCCTCAAATCTGCCACTGTTGGCCCTTTTTTACGATGAATTTTACTAAGTCGTTTAAGGCCAGATTTCATACCTTAAAACTCAAAATTGAGAAAAATTCTGTTCCAAAAAGTTTGATATGATCATCAGCTACACTCACAAGAATTTTTGGAGCGATATCGTTTGACCTGGGTGATTGGTAAAATATACAACTTTGATTTTTTGCAAAAATTTCAATTTTTCTTTTTTCGACCTTGTTTGGTCTGTAACTTCGTCATTTATTGTTTAATCATAGAATCCTTTGAAGGGCTTCTTGTAAGGATTGTAAATAATGCTCAGTAAAAAATCAGCCAAAAAACGTTTAAAATTACTGAAATATTGGTATTACAGTGACACTGACAGACTTCTCAAAATTTCCAAATCTTTCCAAAAAGAAAAAATTTTTTTTTCGAAAGTGAGTGCTCTCAAAAATAATCTTTAATGTATCAAATCTCATTGTTTTTATGTATGCTTTAATAATATGAAGTCAAATCTCGGGTCCCTGCATAGAAGGTTTTGGTATATGTCCCCTTAAATGGGCTTAACTGTAACTGTGCTTAACTTGTTAGACACTTAATGTATTATTGTCTATTTTAAGTAACTACACATTTTATTAACAATGAATTCGAGTTGGTTTTATTTGTACTCCTAAGAGTAGCTGGAAATCCGGACGTCCGAGGGAGGGGGGTGGTTTTGAACATTCGGATACACCCGGACAGGGGTGGTATGAAAATCTGCGATTTTGGTGGACGTCCTCAGTTTTACACTTATTTAAACGCACTTTTATGCATTTGATTTTAAACATACATTTATTAGTTTGTTTGGGCATGTTATTTTATATTGAAATATGTAACGGAAGGGCAACAATGTTTAGTCGAGGATGAATTTACCATGAATACCTGGCGCCTCATTCCTCCGCAAGCATTCGTTTTATTTCTTCTCGTATCCGTGAGAGAAGCGAGCAATAGACTAACAAGCTAGGTAAGGTATTCTCCCGAAAATACGTCAACACAAAACTTAAACAGGTACAAAACGTGTGTAATCGATTTAACTTTAAGGGCTGAAGAGTCACCATATATTCCACATGGAATCTCACTCCCTGTGTTTGTGTTCCTAGCACTCAGGCAGCGCTCTCACACTATAAGTATCACTTGCTGTATCAAACAATGTTTCTATGTGTCTTAATCTAAATCATTAATTAATATCTGAATGAGACTGTTTGATCAGAAAGACGTCTGTTGACCGTTTCGGTTTAAATTTAATTAGGGCTTCTTTGTTGAATTGATGCCGTCGCCGATTTGAATCCAAATTACTGTGCTGTTAAATTTGCACCAACGTATTATAGGAACTAAATAAGTATAGGAATATTTCTTGAGAAGTTACCGCATTCCTAAAGACGAATTTCCAGTTGTAATGTTTTAGTTTTATATTTTGGCAAAAATAACAAATAATGAATACGGGGTCGTTCACATTGACATATTACGTAATCAGCCGAGGGGAGGGGGGTTCCAAATGATTACGCTAGTGTATTTTTGACACAATAGCTATGTGTAAAACTGATTACGGTGGGGGGGGGGGGGGGGGGGGGGGGTAAAAATTGTCCAAAAACTGATTACGTAATATGTGAACGATCCCCAAGGCATACACTTATTTTCAATTTTTTGGACCTTTGATACGGCGTATCATCTATAAAAATGTAGCGCATTTAACAAAATACAGATTATCTTCTAGATACAAATTTAACAAATATGGTTTAGGTACTTTTTAAAGTCCGTCTTGTCGGATATATTTTTTAGGTTGTACTTGTGGCCATAGGCATATGTCGTAAGCGCGCAGTATAGTAATAGAAAAATCCAATTACAAATTACACACCCTAAGAGGTAGCTCATAGCTGAAGAGCTTGAGATTTTGGTTTTATTCACTACATATCAGGACTAGGAGTATATTATATATGGTATAATATTAATATGCAGATTTTTAGAACTGTTACCTGTGACCCAAATATTTAAATTGGACAGAAAATGAACCATGAATACTAAAATTTTGAGCTTTTGGTTGAATCAATGCATGCAGTTTTTTAAAGGACGAATTCATGCTCATGAAATCTCTTTTAATTTCAGTTGAATATAATTTAGGTAATGTAAATATTCACATTTTTCATTATATCAAGTGGATGTGAATTGGTTTCACATTGTAAAACCATTCGAAACAAGTTTATTTTACTTGCAGAAGGATTCAATGTCGTTAGATCATTACCTAATTTTTAAGTGTTTAAAAAAGTGTGACACGAACCTTAGTGTTCAGTTCTAACTCTCTGTTCCGCTCCTTCAGCCCCTCCAACTCTTCTTGCTGCGGGAAATAGGGAGGTTTACATCGTGTTACCATGACACAACACGTGAACCAGCACGTGGAACGGACAGACACGTGACAGACCGTTCCCAACTCGAGGGGAGATTGTGTCACGTGATACCGCTACACGCGTTGTCATGGTCACGTGATATCGCTACACGCGTTGTCATGGCAACACGAGTGTTAAACCTCCCTCCCGAGCTCGAGTTGGGAACAGGACTGAAGGTGAGGGTGAGAAATAGTGATATTAAATGGGTGTCCCACTTTTCGCACACTGACCACACAAATTGAACACACTAGCTTCGACTTTCGACAAGTGAAATAATCAATGGCAATTACATTTCATCACAAATATATTAAACAAAATCCTACGTTCCCTCAAAAATAAAGATAAGTCATACATCTTCATCAGAAAAATAACTTCACATGCGCTAGAAAATCATTTGTGATTTATTGATTTAAGTGGGTTTTTGGAATTATTGAGCAAATGATAAAAAAATTGTAGATTACAAAACAGCACAGCAGAAACCCAAAGTCACAAATCTTATCTCGGTCAGTCCTATAATAGACCTAAGTAAAGCAACCTATAAGTATATTTGTTCAACAAAACACCTAGATTGCGGTTTCTATGGCAACTGCACGGTCGCGCATCATAACTGATAACATTGACAGCAAGCATTGCCAAAGTAACTGCGGCGCAAGATGTCGGCTCTCACTCATGGAAAGTTCGTCCACCCGGTATCAATACCTGATTCTAAACCTTATTAGGTACAAGGCTGCTAAAATTCCAAATCTAACATATCAATTTCCGAAGCTTGTATTTTTAAAATTCCAAAGCTGAACTTGGATGAAAAGATGAAAAAACTTGTATGATACAGTCCTGATAATTCATAAAATATGACAATCAACAGCATCATATTAAATAACAAATAAAAACAATAATGTAACAGTCACACACTATTCAATGCCTGGCAGTCTGACATTCTCTACAAATTACTACACACGTGCTCGCACACAGTCTCTCTCTCGCGCGCTCTTCTCTCCTTCGCACGTGGTGAATATTATCGTGATATGAATGAGTGACGTCACGATCTCTCCAACTGTACAGAAGCTTCCAAAATTAGATCATGTGATCGAATAAAACAATTGCGGAGGACGCTAAGAATAGGAACTCTTGATGTTGTTGCCTCCATTTACCGTTGTTTTCTGGTACAACTCAAGTTTCGTCCGCAGGTCATTTTCGGTGGTTTCAAGCTTTCTCACGTACTGAAATTTAAACTTGATGATAAATCGACGGGAATACAACAACTCACTCAGATAGAACTCCAACGAAGATTCGGAATTTATCTTGCTATTTGTCTTGAATTAAACACTGAAATAACCCCGACAGCAAATCATATCATGGTGAAAACAGATCCTAAAGTCTAAACATCTGTTTTAAAAAGATTCCTTCTTACCTCTGACATTTGCTGAAGTTCCTGCGATTTTATCTGTAAATTCCCGCTGTTTTCCATCTGAGGGAAAATTTACGATCAACTCAACAAAGTTTTCAGGTTAAGAACAAAACAGTTGTCAAATTTATCGTGATAAGTCATAATTATAAACGGTTAATGTCTCTTCGCGTAAGACTTAAGATTTAATCATTAATCGATTATATGCGATGAAACATTGAAAACACTCACGAACAACTACAAACAACTAACAAGTGAGACTGGCCGTACTGAATATACAATTACAGAGAGTAACCAACAACACGTAAAGAGTAAAAACAGGTCTCTAGTCTCAACAATGGAGGTAACTAACACATGGAATATTGTGTACACAACATTGAACACATTCCTCCATCTGTTGAGCAACCTGGATCAAAACTTAACTTTAGGGCAAGCGGTACAAAATGAGCAGTCATTGACCTAGGTAACCTACTTGACTTAAGTCATTCCGTTCCAAACTCGGCGTACAACATTAACAAAATGTAATGCACCTGTTCCACAATCCAAGCAGCCAATAGAACGGCAGGAAAGGGTCTCGTGCGGGACACGTAACCAATGACAACACAGAAAAGCGGTCACGTGATAACTTGGCAACCGATGGGCACATGTGACCATAATGGACAATGGAATTATACGTTCTGTACACCAACAAGAAAGGTATATAATATAAAAAGGACCGCCTTTGTTTTATAGCTAAAATATTGAGCTCAATTGCTGATGTTATAAATAAATGGACTAAAATGATTCGAGAAACAGTAATTTCCTTCCAGGTTAATCGATAACGTATATAATATATATATTTGACACAAAGGGGCGAATCTGGGCTGATCGAGAAATCATTGGCCTATCAAGTAGTTACAGTAGACACGAATAAAAGCAATCGTTCGTTGTCACAATGATAATCGACCATCAACACTTTAGTCACCATCTCTTAAAAGGTTCACCCTGTTGAATTAAATCAACCAGTGCCCCAACAAAGAGGACACCTGTGCCACAAACTATGAATAAAGCTGGTGAGCCCAAGCTGTAGAATTCTTTGGTATATAATAACAACTACCATGCCGAAAAAACAGGTCACATAAGACAGATGCTACGGTACAATTTAAGAATGCTAGCCGCTAGGCCAGGTTACTGTAACGTTAAGCACAGTCCACCCACCTTGGATGTCTCGAGATGTCTGAGATCCGACTCCAAGCGTTTGATATGAGATCGTAGCTCTTCGGATTTCTGAAATAAATATGACTTTTAAATTCGAGCAATGTTTATATATAAAATTTAAATGTTGTACGAGGAAAAATAATTTGATACTAAATAGTCTGAACGATATCTTAAATCTGTCAAATTTGGCTCCCTTAGAGCCACCTCAAGTTGACAGAATTTTTGACCGGCAACTTTAGTTTAAATGCCCTCCTAAAGTTTCTCCAGCTACTTCCTTAATGCCTGAAGCGGTTACAAAACCAGCTTAGAGGTTATTATTAACCGGGGAGGACGACATGGTTACTTTTACCTGGAATGCATCATGAGCAATAACCACAGACATCCCAACAACTCAACCACTTCACTGGGGCTCTAGCGCTCTAAACGATACTTCGAGCTCCTTTCAGAGACCGTCCCAACCAAGTGGAACTGGGAACGAGTTACAGGACACGGAGCTCTTTTCCTTAACTACGCAACGGTTAGAAGTTAAAACAGTGAACAAGGTTGCCTGGTTGCTACTTAAACGGAAACCTCAACCTTCTAGACTCGGGAATTTTCACTGGATATTTCGGGAAAATCTCACAAAAATATGGAGGTGATCGCTGGAGAGTGTCAATATTAATTCGTAGCGAAAGACAAGCAAGTCTGGGTGATTGGTGAGTTGAAAATTTGATGTGTGGATATTCTGCAGGATGAATACTCGATGTTCCAGTAATTATTATAGCACCAGCCTAGACTATCGACTAATACTTAAATGTATCGAAGATTTAAATGACCATCATCATGGCCATGAAATTGTATGGATTATTTAATTAGGCCAAGTTCGCTTATTTCCATAGCAACGCTATAAAAGTTAATTAACCTTGGTGGTTGGATAATGAGTAAATTGCTCAGCATTTTGGTGGAAGTATGGAGTATGGGATAAAGTAAGTTTATAAAAACCGTAATTATCAATATTGCAGCTGCAAAAACGTGTAATAGGAGGCAATTTTGAAAGATGAATGATATAAAGTCTATATTATAAAGGAGTCCAGACTTGAGTGCTGCACGCTAATGGATACTATAATTACCTGAGCTCATCAACTCAGCCTGGTTAGCGTACATACGCTTAAGTTAACCTTACTTTGTGAACTTCACTCACATAATATACTCATATAGGATGCATGTGTCTGTACGTGTATATATAATATATATACACGTACAGGCTGCGTGTCCCCCGAAATTGGCAATAAAACTCAATTTTAGCACAGGCAGATGAGAAAAAACCGTCGAATAGAAAGTCATCAGATGAAATATTGGAGCACAGATTAAAAGATAATGCAATGTACATGCGGAGAGTGCGCATTCTATAATACCACAGACACTGACTAAGATACAAAGGACTGCAAAGGCCCAGGTATGCGTTTCTATTATGAAGATAATGAATGACTGGAGAGAGAGAGAGAGAGGCACAACTGAGGGAGACGGTGAACAGGACACATGTTGTGGTGTTAGGGCACGAGACTCGAGGGGAGGCCATCAGCTAGGCTCACCCGGAGAGAGAAGATTAATGGTTACTACGGAGATCCAACGTACTGTCATAGCAATTTGTTCATTACAACGGATTATAGATCTGAGAAATTGCTGGGGTGCTGTACACTTGCTGACTTGCTTTTCTGAGGAAAATGAACAAATTAACTGATGCTACCAGGGAGAGAGTGTGGCCTCGGGACTTTCTGAGGACATGTTGTTAGCATGATTTACTAATCAAAATTGGAAATACTCTCTACCAAGCACAGCCAAAGGTCTGTGTAATAAATAACACAGAGTCGATTAACAAATATAACACATTCGATTAAACTCCCGTAACAGACACAGAATGATCCCGCAGCTGGGCATTTGTATAACAATATAAAGTTAGACCGGGAGACTGTTATAGCTGTGATGAAAAGAGCACACAGCCGCCCACACCTGAGACCCCGCCAACACATAGAGATCACACTTTAGAGGACCTGAACTCTAGGTGTAGGACGTGAACTGTACATGTAGCCTAACCGAACTACACCACAGTCTGCCGCATGGAGTGCTGTGAAACTAATTATTAGAGTGTTCAGGTTACTTTTTATTATTGTTGAGTGTGTCAGTTGGGTCAGTACAAAGGAGCGAAGGTAACAAGTAAATTAGGATTGGAGATTACAAGTTACTAGTCGTGAAGTGAGTAATCAGACCACCGCCTCATTGCAGGCCTGTCCGTATCTCGTTATCTCCGTAACAATGCCAGCATCTTGAATTATTTATGCTTGGGAGGGACCAGGGACGTAGCCAGGATTTTTCTTTGAGGGGGGCTGTCGGCGAGCGAAGCGAGCCGACGCGTCCAGTCTAGCTGCGCAGCGAGCGAAGCGAGCATGCTGTGGCAGGGGTCTGGGGGCGCAGCCCCCAGCGGGGTCCAGGGGCGGAGCCCCTTAGCGGGGGCTAGGGGGGCGCAGCCCCCCGGAAATTTTTTGCGAAACAGGGTGTTTTAGACGACATTTGGCATTAAAGAAATTTGTAGGACAGCAATAAACTGGGATTGAAAAGAATCAAGTACTCACGTAAATTTGGTAACTTCACAACAGCAATCTGCATTCTCCAATCAGAATTTACGACTTACTCAGGCCTCATCGTCTTAAGATTTTTACATTTCCTACGGTCTAGGGGACACTATTGACTATAATTATAGAAGTCTTCTAGAATGTTTGCTTGGATTTAATGACATATATTTACTAATCCACAGTTCAGATCTTTGACTGACTGCAGTCATAAACACAGCCCAGTTACCAGGCGACCATGGGGACTAGAGGGCTTATCTTTTTTCTGGGGTTCGATTTTTTCCGGGGGGGGCTGCCGCCCCCCTAGCCCCCCCCCCTGGCTACGTGCCTGGGAGGGACTGGGTCGTCTGACTGGACTGAACACCACACATACGGAGAGAAATGTAGTACTAAAGTTCATTTAGCGAGAGAGAGAGAGACTAATTAGAATAAAGCTATAGGGTAAAGAGTGTAGCATGGTGGTGGGTTAAGTCGTCCGAAGAAGAATGTGTAGCTGATAAGATAATAGTCAATGATAGACCATCTGCCTCCAGCGGGGTGCACCTTGCTCTAGAACCTCCCTCACTCACTCTCTCTCTCTCTCTCTCTCTCTCTCTCTCTCTCTCAAGGGAGCACGAGATAAATGGAAATTATAGCCGAGAGGGCAGCTGCCCCGGCTAACCAAGTGAACTGCTGATCGCTAGTTGTAGTTGTACATTATACAAAATAGTATCATGACACCTAGGAGGGGAGGAGACTGGAGACAAGGTGATTAGGGTGCTACTGGTTACTGGTTACTGGCTTTCCTGGCACTAAATACAGGGTGTCCCAGCATGTAACCACACGAGCCATAGGACAAACACTTGCTGGGGGCCAGGGGGTGCCGACTTCATTTGATAAATAAGGACTGTAGTACTTGCAGTAGACCTAGATACCAGATACTGATCTCGTCTGGCAGGTGACAGTAGGTTATTTGCGGTAATTTGGAGACGAGAGACGTATCTAAGAAGTTGTAATGCTCCCAAGGAGACCAACATGATAGCAAAATATTAAAATTTGAATATCCAATTTTAACTTAGTTGATCGAATATAGTCTAAATGATTACCCATACGGCATGCACATTGAACCTGCTATATTTAGAAATTAGCTTATTGTTGACCGATATGTATTGCGTTCAGAATGGGCCTTTGCTCCTTAAAATGGAGCGATGGCTCAAAACGTTTCAAACTACCCTTCGCCATCAAACAGAGGCCTTTGAAACTGCTTGCAAAACTGGGTGGAGCAACTTCAGAATAGTACAAAGTAAAACGCTCCAAGTATACCAAGAGAATAGAGATGAAAGGAAGGCAGAGCCAGATGAATCACACTGTTCCCCCATGTGCTGTGCAAGGTTATTACGAAACAAAGGACCAATCTCCACGGCCAGGGTGGAGGATAATAGAACTAGGTGTCTCGTGTAATTCACAGTATAATGACGCCCCCGGATACGTAGGCACAAAATGTGAATCATCAGAACAATCTGTATTAAGACACGCTATTTTCATGAGAGCCATGTCTTATAAAGATTGAGTAGTCACGTTTTGGAGATGAGTTATGTATGAGAGAGCATTCTGTGTTTGATGTAGTATGTTGGAGATGAGTAGTAGTAAGAGGAAATGAAGAGTGACGTCACAGCATCTACAGAGTACAACACTTCCTCAAAAGCCTCATAGCCATACAATCTTTACTGTGTGTTTAAACAAAACGACTCGTAATGTTCTACAATAATGCTCCGGTTCAGGTAGAGCTACTGTAAATATAATCTCCAATAGAAACAACGAAACGCATCCTAAAAGCACTACACAGAACACACAGTGCAGATTATAGACAAAACGCACGGTTTTATTGGCTGAAAGAGAGAGACTCTGCTACATCCCGGAAATGAGGTAATATTACTCCTGCTTTTGTAAACTTACAACTACGAAAGTAAGAGACTGGTGTCTGGAGGACTCCCTGGAACATGGAGCGAGCTGATAGGTCCTGAACATGGTATCCAGAGTAACGGGACTCTCACTCTCCCACTCACAGCACTCCGATAGGTAGAGGAGGACAGGTAGCGGAGGGAGAGAGATGATGTGTTCTGTAGTTAACTTGCTAGCTCAACCTATCAACGGCACGTATAACAGCGCTTAAATAGACCGTATCTCAACAGTGACCTCTCTTAATCCACCAGCCTCTTGCAAACAACGAGCCGGTAATAAATAACTAAAGGCCGGGTAATTGTTTGCCTTATATGCGTCCTGGCCGCGGAGTGGGCGTTGCTATGGTACTGTCTTTACAGTCTGCAGCTGAAATGAGATGGAACTTACCTGGTCTTGAGAGGAAGAAGACTTTTAAGGCTGCATGGTAGTCCAATACGGAGGAGAGGATAAACAACAACCAACACGGGCGATATACAAATATAGAGAATGCTTGCGACGGATCAAGGAAGCCACCGAGTGGAGTTCGCCATGGCAACCGTCCTTTTGTCATGGTTACGCTGTTTAGAAAAGGCAATTATCGTCCCTGCCCGAACTAAGGAACATTAGAATACAATGCTGGTTTAAGAGGCCCGTAAACCAGGGTGTACACTAATTAGGCACTACTTAGACGCCGAGCATTGACAGTGAGGGTTGTGGGGGAGGGTTGTGGGGTACAATATCGCGGATACACTCGGGCACTTACTGCGGACAGGATGTGCTCAAATAACGGAGTTTGACCTGGCCCTGGCCCTATGAGATCTTAGCTCATTGCAGTAGTCTGGAAATATTTAGCATGTAAATGAGAAGGAGATTGAGATAATAGGAAGTTTTGGCCATCATAAAAGATAGCAAGAGTGCTTCGTAGTAAGACCAATAAGTTTGATAATATTCCGCCAATAAGACACCAAAGTGATTAGCAATGAGTAAAGAGGTAGCAGTTACAGGTTATGCTTGTAACAACTAACAATCTTTGAAGACAGACATCTCGACACAAGATTGAAATTACTTAAGTAAAAAAATTAATTAGTTATTGTATGTTTATGCGGATACGGATTATGAGGCGCTGTGACCAGCCCAGGCTGGAATTTAAAGAAGGCAACAACTGCTTTGCTGAGTATTCGCTCGAGACAGGTATGCAGTGTGGCAATTCATAAGCTATTAATATATAAAGCTCCCAGACCGTAACCTTTGTATCCTATCATACCATCACGACAGTCGACAAGTCATGAAATGAGATTCAGTTTTTCTAGACTGCAATCTGCATAGGGCTAGCCCCCGCCACATATAGAGTCTAGACCCAAGCAGCAACCGATGAGTAAACTTTTCTACGCTGTGAAATGAATGGTAATGATCAGTCGCGAAAGATTCAGCAAATCATCTGATTAAACTTGTAGGTGATGAAAACTGGGATCACCACAAAACAAACCCAGTTCATTCCTATATTGGTTCCACAGCCAATACTAACAAGGCACAGTTAGACATTACTTGTCAACGTTTATATTGTAGACTACACTGAACACATTTCTGGGGTTCGCAATATAAAGTCTATAGTTAAAGGAACCAACCAGATATTCTTAATCCGGGCATGTAATTGGGGTTAAAAATGATTAAAAAGAGTATCAATGAAATATGTTTCTTGGAAATGCGTTGAAGATTTACCTATTAGGAGAGATGATAACTCATATAAAACTTGAAACCAGGATATGTTGAAATGACGATAATCAAAAACAATGGTGGGATGAAAAAGACTGGACCACCATGACCAAATGAAAAAGCCATTACAGAGAAGTATAAGTACACCTTGAATCTACCTAAGAATGAGAATGGAGAGGCATTACTCTCTCTTAGCCTTCGATTCGAATTTATTTACAGCTCTTTTATTTTTACAAAATACCTTCAAAGTATAACATCATAGCTCTTTTATTTTTACAAAATACCTTCAAAGTATAACATCAACGTGTGCTTACTTGGTTGTGTTCTTTGTTCTTCTTGTCCAGAGTTCGTATTACTCGCTGCAGTTCTTCGTTGTGCTGCTTTTTCATTGCACCCTGTGAGAAAAGAATCAGGATACGCATAAAAAACCAAGAACATTGAATTTCTTACTATGATTAGTTCTCCGGTCGATTATCAAGAAAATATATATATAATAAAATCAAGAGGTAAATATATGGACATATTTCTTACTTTTTCTGCTTCGTATTGTCGAATGTGATTCTTTAAATCTTCGTTGGAGACCTTGAGCGCTTCCACGACCTACGAATTAGACAGAAATAAACAGGGTGTAAAAAATAGCAAATTATGCGTGAAGTAAAAGTAATTCATGTGCTTGAGTGAAATGGTTCAATGATTGGTAGCATAACTGTAGGGCCTGTGAATGAGGCTTGAAGAGTGAATAATCAAACAATCTCACTGGAACCACAACATAGCATTAAAGCACCTGAAACAACAAAAAAGCAGAGAGTTCTCCCTGCAAAACACATGTAACTTGCAAACAGCAGCACGATACTAAACATGGTGTTAAGAAGTCTGGTAGTCATGGTGTTTAAATACTGTAGTCATGGGATCCACCTAACTAATTTGAAGGGGTGTGTTAATTCTCATGAGATTTTCGCGATGGTTAGACTAAATATAATGAAGTGCAAGTGTGTGCTTTGAAATGTGCGGATTGTGCAATGGCTGAAGCACATATAAGGTTGTACCTTCCAATAGTGGGACGACTTTTCGTAGAAATCTGTAAATTTCGCGGAACCAGGATTCTGCATGAAAGTAGCAGTAAATGTACAGTATGGTCAAGATATAATGGCCAGGGTGAGAAAAGTTTATGCAACTGCAAGAGTTTGTGCACTGTTGGAAGGTATGTAAATGAATGGTTGTGTGTTTATATGGACTGACAATCACGCTGAAACTTTTCTTACTTTTTTTGCCTTCTCCAAAACTCTACTCTTCACCTTCGAATGTAATGGAACATGTGAAATTATGTTGAATGCAGCCAGAATCAGATATTAAACAAATTTTAAGAACAACTGTTAGTATACTAATACACTCTTGTGAGTGGGTAAACGAATGAAAATCTACAATAAGTTGAAAAACGTCAAATTTTGTAACGTTCATACTACACTCGCAGAGCAAAATGAATGAAATAGTTGTGTACAATTTTACTGTAACTAGCCAAGAATCGACAAGCTGAAAGTAAATTGTAACCAACATTCAAACGGCGCAAACCAAGGCTAAAGAGTTTGGCCTTAAGAAATCTACATCGAAGTGTGTGTTTGACTTTGATGTATTTCCTTTAAAGCCCAATTTCTTTAATTTCATGTCTTTTATAGGTTATAGTAAACTTGAGTAAATTAATTTCGAGCATTTTGCGTTACACTATTATGCCAAGTGTAGTATCAACGTTCATCTTTGACGTTAGCCGAAATATCGAGGAAATAAGAACTATTTTCAACTGAGTGGAAACTCTCATTCGTCTACCTTATCAAATTGTGAACTTTAACTGTTTAAGAGCAGATAATAAACAAAGAGAATCCCAGAATAAATCATAATGGATCAACATCTCGGACTTCGGAGTCGCTGTGAGATGTCGATTACATTAAACCAGACATTAACGAATAACTTAATCCTGGGCGGCCCGGTAGATATTAGATTATAATACCACGTACTCGGGCCCTAGAAAAGCTTTAATCCATTAGAGCCAAGGATAATAATATTGCTACCCATTGTGATCTATATTATCATATTATGATAATACAGATCAACAACAATGGGCAGCAATTCACACCCTTAAAGTTATGTCAGTGCGTGTTTATTGTATTTTAAAGCTCCGAATTCCCTGGAATTCCTTACAATTCCTGAACTCCTCCCAGAGGAACAGGTTATTCCAAAATGAACGCGATGTCATATCATACCGCTCTAAGGTTTACATAATTCATATTTATTTTGGGCCACCACCAAGGGAGAAAGTTCGAAAAAACGATGATACCGACTGATATGTGGCATATAAACACACTCTATCTTACCTCAGTAGTTTCCTCCAGTTCGGTGATCTTGTTAATGAGAGCCGCACTGTTGGGTGACAGTTTGGACTCCATCTTCGAGAGTCTGGACTCCAATTTGAGATTACTGAGACGGTAATTCTCGCACTCTTTCCGGAGGTACTCTTTGTCCTGGGAATGGAAGGTTTAAAATGTTGATCGTTGTAATGGGATTGTGAGTGGTATGGCTAATGGCTATCATAGCGATTTAATATCTTTGGTTCCAAATCTGTGTAAAAGAAATTGAATTCTGTTGCCCAATTCTATAAATAGGGAGCAATATTGACTAAGACGAGACTCAAGCAACAAATAATACAATTCAGATCACTAAAATTGCTTTCATTACGAGAAGTTATAATCGGTTTTACTAAGAATGGAATGTGTTATTCGCTGCAGCACTTAATCAATAATCATACAGCACGTCATTTTATTTTAACACAATTTCGAATCATTTAGCTCAGCTGAATAAAATTCAATAGTTAGACTGAACAAGGTCTTTCAATATGCCATCAATGTACGCTAACGGTACACAATCAGCCTCAGACGTATCTACAACTATCTCAGTTTGTATCTCTTTATCGAGTTTGTCAGTTTGCCAGTCTGTTAACTTGTCAAAACCACATATTCCCCTGAGGGTGTTGCCCCTAGAGGCACCCTCACACGTGTTCAGTGTGTCTGTTTGTGTGTCCGTCAGTCGGTCAGTAGCTAGGCTGGTGACGGTTGTAAACGTGTCGGTCACAAGTCCAATCATCTTGTCACTACCGTCCTCAAACCTCCGTATTTCCTGTAACACAGTGTGTGCTTCACAATACAATAGTCACACTATGACGACACAACAGTTTTTGGGGAGACAAATTATTATTATTCAAAATATAGCTCGTGCTTGAGTCCAGTTTTACAACATAATATATCATCATCACTTTGACGACACAAACAGGGACGCTCACTCATTGCAAGGTCATAAATTATGATAATTTTATGGTAATATAACTTTATGATATACTAATATTAATAATGGTTGCGTAGGTGGTCAACACCCACAAAACCCCACTCGTAGCAGTCCTATTTTGCGTCCCAAAAGGAGAGACAGGTGCGACTTCATGGACTCAACATATTTAACTTACAACGACATCAAGCTAATGAACCATACGTTATATCATATTATAATACAGGTGGGAGCTTGATAACAACTAAAAGATTCACATATTTTTACTGGTCATAATATGAAATGTGTGATAAAGTTCAATGCCTCCCTACTAATAGGAACATCCGACATGACACACACAAAACACATCACGGACACCACGAAGAGTGCTGATAATTCACTACAACAGGGCATGTGTCTCTAGAGTCACTATACTACTTTAGCAATAATAGCTGTGGGAACAATACCTTATCATCTTTTATCTGCATTATACTCTGAAACAATTCATTACACTTGTAAAGCACGGATAACCAACCGGACCACCGCGGGTATTATGTATTCAGCTTTCAGCATATTTTTATTAGCTTGTTACATGAAAAAATGCTAAAATTATACATTTTTCATGGTCTCTGTTATAGAATTAAGGTCACACTCACTCTCTCACACACCCACACACATCTCACATACACACGTGTTCAAGGCAGTGTTTAAATCGTAGATTACGAAATTCCTCAATTTCATCATTATAAGTGTGCTTAGTAAGTAAACTTACTAACAATCTTAGTATTAATAAGTAAAGTTACTAACAGTCATTACGACGCTATCTAACTCTAATCTTACTTAAATAGTAGAGTTACAGACAGCGGTTATGTAATATGCTAATTGCTAATTACTACTGCTGTTCAACAAAATAAGATTTTTTTCCCTACTCTTGCCGAAGGCAAAAAGATCGTAGGGAATAAGTAATCGGGTTTGGATATATGAGGTGGCCCGACGGTCCTACGGTGTCGACAAAAGTCTGCTCCTTCGCAATATAGACCACTCCCCTATAATTATGTGTATAAAAGGAGTCTATTTTGCGCGCGCGACGCTGGTTATGAGTTAATTAATTACAGGCATAGCAACCAGTTTTTGGTGCTTGACGACTGTTACAAACGGATAATTCATCAATATAGGTGTTATTTGTGTGAAACAATCTTAATAAATTACCGAGTGATAAAATTCAGCAAGTCAAAACAAATAAAATTATGATGTCAGCTGATAAACTCGTGGCTGTGGGCTGATTATTTAACAGTTAATCGACATTGAATGGTAGAAAGCATTGGAATACATAGTTGAGAACAAATGTTACTTCACAGTTACATTTAAGAAGCAACTATAATATCAAGATTGTGGTATTCTTTTAAAGAATCCTATATCAAATAAAAGGCTCGAAAGTCGATGGTGCTGTGATGTGTCGAGTAAGAATCAAAATGTATTAGTTTATGTTAGATACAAATAATAACTAAGACGAGACAGCATATTTTATTACAGTCAATAAGTTGGCATACGATGCAGTAATATGACGTGACATGATACGCATATCGTTATTGTTAACACGAAACAAAACCGCGCAAAGTATGAAATGATCTACAACCAAACCACATACAGATCGACGGCGACACCTCAGATGCGCGCAGGATTTTTCAAGTTCTGCACGCCTAATATAATATAAACGTTTATTACATTGTACATGCGCCAAACACCACTCTGGGATACAATAAAGTAGAACAATTAAATTGTATGCAGTAGGGAAATTTGATCGTGCGTGGTGTTACCGCGGCGAAATTCTTGTTTTCATTTCAACTTATTAAATTTTGATCAATAGCAGATGCCGAGCAAAAAAAATGCAATTCAGCCCAACCGCTCGGTTTAGGATTTAACATTTTAGAATTTTCAAAAAATCTGATAATGACCCACCTTTTCTAGTTGCTCAAGATATTCGTTCCGATCGTTTAACATGGAGGCCATCTCCTCAGCTTCGTACCGCCTCTGAGATACAAGATAACATCAAGATACTATCACTTAATTACTGCAGCCCCACAATTACATGCAAACTGCAAAGCCGCATATTTTACCAAAATATAATCCCAATATCCCACTACAAATATGGGACAATAATTTCATTATCAGCGGGACACAACAACACACAAATATCATAAATAGATCAAATAATATTTAATTGAAAGTTAAGTATTTACCACGGTCACAGTAGATAACATATAATACGACATTATAATTATCAAACACAAACCACAACACAGCCCCACAGGCAAAATTAGAAAATAACAGTTCAACAAATATTAACTTGTTACCCCATTTTGAAACATCAAAAGATCACGAAGAGCCATACAAAAGACCATTTGACATTGATAATAGGGATAATGGATATATAAGTGTACATTACACAATATAAATGCGATGAGGGACTAAAATCGATGCGTCATGGCAAACTATAGTATTGGCTAAATTTTCAGAGAAATACACATGGCGCGTAGTGAAGGGGCAAACAAAGAATACGATGAGGAGGGCTTAAATTCAGGGTACGGCTGGGGGACCTTAATGTGGTGAAGTGACGATAGTGGTTTGCTATTTATAGAACAAAGCGAATTGCATTTTAATGAGTAGGTGAAGGTGGCAAATGGTAAAGATGTAATATAGCATGCAGAACTTGTGAAAGTCTCATATCTCAGTGGGTGAAAGGACCGAACAACATGTGTCAGATAAGGGGCGAATAAGTGTCAAATATGTGTTAGATTTGTGTTAGATATGTGGCAAATATGGAGAATAGAATGACGGAGACAAACTCTTGATCTACCTGGGTTTCATACTCTTCAACTCTTTTTGCCAATTCGTTCCGCTCTTTGGTTACTAATGAAAACTTCTGCAAATCAAGGTTTTAATGATCATATCAGATGGGTTCTATAGGTTTTTGTTAACTTATCAAACTTGAGCCGGAGCCGTTAATATAGGTTCAGCGGCATAGACTTTACTAAAGGTGGAGCGTTGGGATCAATTTTTGTGCTTGGTATAAAAACAGGGCATGCAGGAATCACACGAGAATTAACTTCCCAACATTAAATGCTACCCAAAAAGAACAGCGAATAAGGCTATATAAAGCCCGGAAATTGATAGTCAGCCGTAGCATATTTCTACAGAATCCTATGGTGCAGCGTTTAGCGCCCAAATATAAAATATCTACCATAAAACTTGCTATTCTGGGCAGACTATTCTAAAACCCTTTACCTGAGTAATGTCATCGTAGTATCGACTATTCTTCTCTTCTTTCTTGACGAGCTCCATTTGTACTTCCTCAAGTAGCTTGATCTGTACAGTAGTGTTTGTTAAGATGAGTAAAGTATTATTTCGAGGCGATAAGATATTACAATGAGACAGACTTTAGGCTTTTCCAGAGAGAATAAATCCGTTGATATCTTAAAAATACACAGTACTTAACCTAACTCCATTAAATAAATCAAAACTTATGTGAGGGGTATGAAAAATTATACCAATCATTTGACGTTTGAAAGTTAATTTGGAAATAATTAAAAACAAAATTAAAACATCAAATTACGATTTAGTCTAGACATGGGAATTACTTACAATCATAAACCTAATGACCGCTTAAACAGACGATAGTATTTCAAATTAGAATCCATAAAAATTTCAATTTTAAAATGTGTTCCAATCAGACTTGGTCTTGTATTGGAGTTGTTTTCAAATAGTGTCCGGTGTAGTCAATGTCAATTATTTTCTCATAGAAGAGAAGAAGTATTGAGTAAGTCCGAGAAAAGAGTCAGTCCTGGGGAGTTGATCATCGTCATTGTCCGTGTCAGTCTCAGTTTCAGTCAGTGGAAATTGGTTCACTCCAGAAAAACGCCTCACCCTCCGAATACCTGCCTCCTAGATAGCACAATCTACATCTTCAGGATAAAAAGTCAAGTCTAACAATTTAAGGTACAAAATTAAGTCTCAGGAGGCCTAAAATCAAAATAATTTGTCAAACCTTCTGTTTGGAAGAAGCCTCCCCGTCCAGAAGTTTCTGCTTTTCAGCTCTCAACATCTCAATTTCATTTTTGAGATCACGAGCCTCACGAAGCTGTTTGTCTAGATCAGGAACAGGTTTAGCTGGGGCCTGCTTTAATTTCTCGATCTCAGCTTCAAGAAGAGCAGATGATTGCTGAAGTTGTTCGTATTCACTCTGGATGCGAGCGGTGGATTGTTTGAACTGCTCGTTCTCAGCCTTGAGGTTCTTCATCTGAGGGGAGAAGAAGTGAGGTCGTGGTGGTCCGAGCCATGTCCGAGTCGCGTCTTCCTGCAAGGTATTCAGTCGGAAGTCGTCTGTCTCTGATTCATAGTTGTCAATCGAAATGCCAAGTTTTCTGTATGACATGTGTCTGGTGTCAAGTCATGGTTTGTCCAGAAAGAATTCCATCAAATAAAATCTTCAAATGGGCTATCTCAGCAGCGACGACAAGTAATGTAGATGGTGCTTAAAATTTTACTAACCACGGCTTTGGTAGAGTTGAGCTGTTCAGCTAACTGTACTTGGTTTGCTTTGAGCGCACTAAGCTCCTTGCTCAACTGAACATTGCTGCTTTCAAGTTCCTCTTCCTTTTGTTTGGTATCTGTCACCATCTTCTTATAATCTTGCTCCTGCTCCAAGATCTAGACAAGAAACACTCAGCAGACGGTTACAAAGAATTTTTTTTCTACAGAAGATTAGCAGAGCAAAATAAATAATATGTGGATGCTGTGAAAGACTATTCGAGGGCTTTTCGGTATGTGGGCTTTTCGGTATGTGCTTTCATTATTCAAATTAGTTTAAATTCTGCGAACCTTGGCTCTGAGCTCTTCGACCAACTGAGCATCCTGTGAATCGTTATCGTCGTTCTGCCAAGCCTCGTTCAGCTCCATTTGCAGAGCTTGATTCTCGATATTCTCCTTAGAGGATAGCTTTAGCATGGTTAGACAAAGTAACACACTTCGAAAAATCACAATTATGGCTGGTGATCGAATGGAGCAAAAAACCCTAATCAATTTGTCCGATAACATATCTTACTGATTTCTACAAATCATTTGGTGTAAACGCGCGTGGTGGTTACGCTCACAAGAAAGTAGATAACACATAATCTTCCGCGCGTTCCAAATAACACTGTAAACATCACACAAAATCGCACCTGTTCGCTAACATCTATTATAACGCGGACGTCACGTAATTTTCAGTAATACTTCAAGGATCACAAGTCCCTATCCTCTAAAAGTAGCATTTAAATTACCGAGTATTACGGCAGACTAAACGCTTGAGTGACTGCAAATCAGGTATCACGTTATTTGGCAGACTATTTAGTAGATACAATATTAAATATTGTACAAACTAAATTTTGTCGGACCGAAATTTATTTAGAAGTGAGAAAACCTTTCATAACAACTACGCAACAATGCTTAAAGCTGTCATTAAACTTACTCGAATGTCCTTGGGGAGCTTGATGTTGCTTTGTGTTAGAATCTGGGCTAATGTTCTCTCAACCAACAATTTCTCCTTTTCTTGGATTCGCAGTTTCTCAGCTAAAGCTTTGCCGTCCACCTGGAGAAGTACAGACCCGTTAATGGATTTATTAGTTGTTAATTAGAGGCAGTTATGCAGCTTCTCTAAAAGCAATTGTCGATACTTCAACTCGTGCGAACTACTGTTAAACCAGCATTTAATTGCACTGTCACATTCAGTGCATCCACCAAGCAGGTACAAAAATGCTGATTGCCGACATGTGCCAAAACAAATTTGCTCCAGCTCACGCACGGATAACTTAGTGGAGTCTATGAATGCACAAGCATCTGAAATATCCGAAAATAACGGGATTTAATACCACCGGCTAGCTAACTAACATATTTTATGCAACATTAGCGCTCACTGCTCAGTAGTATTAACCTATCTGGTGATAGCAAGAGAAGCCCTATTAGTGACGGTGTTTTATTAAAATGTGTAGTCAGCTTTTGTGTATAACGCCTTCAAATACCTTACACACATTCTAGCCACGTCTGAAAATTATTGCACTGTATACCACAAAGTCTGTTGTCGTGTTCAAATTAGAGCCTATGTTTGGAACTTTTGGTGTGATAATTACTAGATGAAAGTAGCCGTGATAAAACGGCTGAAATTTAATGTATTCTTGTTAGACAAACCACGAAATAATCTGTCTGTTGGCAGTTGTTATGTGTGGTATAGTCAAACTTTCAAACAAATACCTGCCTCACTTGGTCTTGAGTTATGCAACAAACAAGAGTGACAGTTAAATGGCTACTTTGAATGAGGTTTTCGTTGATTCAGCATGGTTTACACGGCGTAAATCAAATCTGGTAGCGGATGAGACAGGAATCTAAAAATTGCACCCAGCAATTATATCTTTGAAATCTAATAAAGAACAGATAATACGTGTTCCTTAAATAACTCGCCTGGCCAAAAATTATAGCAGGTACAGTCTTGCAGATGGTTCATCAGTTCATTCGAATGCAGTGTTTTAAATTTAACTTCTTGGACGGCCCATTTCTAAGCCGGCCCAAAGTTTGCAAAACAGAGTCGAAAATTGGAAAAATGTTAAAAAGTGATCCGCACAAACTCGCTTCTTATAACATAACTTTGTTACAAGGATATAGTCAAGGAGAACATTTGCCTGACAACTCAATTAAATGTACACTTTGTACATGGTAACACTTCAATAAAAATACTTAATACAGGGTGCAGTTATTTATACCCTACTTGGACATCTAAATACATCTCCAAGGATCCCCCTTTTCCAGCTGGAACATTACCAACTCATCATTTATTAAAATTTATCATTTACAGTTCAGATTTTTCGGCATTGTCCGGTCGCTAAGAATCAATAAATTTGAATCAAACAAATCACGTATTTGGTCAGACTCCAGAACGCTTGCACATGTCAAATTAGCAATTGCTTGTTAAAACAGCAGACAGCTCGGAGTGGATAGTAACGGGGATTCTCTGATATATACATACATACATACATACATATATATCTAAACTACATGGGCATAATATACATATCCAATATTATATACTGCAACCCCTCTGTAGTCTGTACCTCTGACATGTACCAAAATGTTTCATCTCCATACAGGATACAAATTTATAAATACACCTCGAACTTAGTTCTAAATTAAATGATGGAGTAGTTCGCCGTTGACGCCGAAAATTTGCCTACATTCCTAACTTCCTGTTTCATTTGTCCTTGTCTCTTTCAACCGGATATTATCCATCTATCAGTATTAGTTCTAAATATTCAGTTATATTGTAGTGACACATGACAGTCAGTACACAAATCCTTGTTAGGTCACAGCAGAGTCCTAACAAGTAGCATCAGCACTGTCTCCCTCATTTCAGCAGCACTACTTTTAGCAACCTCATCTTTCAAAGCGAACACAAACCTGCATATCATCATGCAAGTAAAACGAGAAAGTCTCCCGGAAACTAAAGAAAGCGTGCAGTGTCTGTAACACAGACAGGACTAAATAACATGATGTACGGTGTGAGTTTCTTAATCTCAAGGGAAAAGTTTAGAAAAAAGCTGGCAGTCTAAAAAATGCATCTTATCTACGTCAAATACGGCTCTTCGTTAGAGAGGGCTGGTCCACTCTATCCAGATCCAGAAATCATTGATTTTACCGATTGGTTATTTTAGGAGGTATTGATATAATGGTTTCCATTAAATTCATAAACCAGCTCAACACCAGCTTATTACCTCGTGTACAGTCTATTGGTTGTTTGAAGTAGAAAAACCAAGATCGCCACAACTTGTAGCAAAACCAGGATGGCTACATCTTGTAGCAAAACCAAGATGGCCACATCTTGTAGCAATACCAAGATGGCCACATCTTTTAGCAAAACCAAGATGGCCACATCTTGTAGCAATACCAAGATGGCCACATCTTGTAGCAAAACCAAGATGACCACATCTTGTATCCAAACCAGGATGGCTACATCTTGTAGCAAAACCAAGATGGCCACATCTTGTAGCAAAACCAAGATGGGCACATCTTGTAGCAAAACCAGGATGGCTACATCTTGTAGCGAAACCAGGATGGCAACATCTTGTAGAAAAACCAGGATGGCTACATCTTGTAGCAAAACCAGGATGGCTACATCTTGTAGCAAAACCAAGATGGCTTCATCTTGTAGCAAAACTTACCGATAGTTCAGCAGATTCTTTTAGTTCGTCTAACTGGGTCAGCTGAAAATAACAGCTGTTAAAGAGATTGTTACATTTAAATTTTAAAAGTGTTATGTGAATAATACTAGAATTAAAATCCTCTTATATACTACATTATATAATCTAAAATTCTAAGAAAATCCATTTTATTTTGTTTAATTGCTGACATTGCCGGGGTTAAGGAATGAGGTGGCAAAAACGTTAGGTCATGGGTGGTCAGTGGTCTTCAAGTTACCAAACCTTGCACGATATTAGCATATTTATATGGTTACCACAATGTTGTATTGATTGAAACTTGAAAGTGCCATAAAAGGCGATTCATGTTCTATAAATTCTTGTTTCTATTAGTAAAATATCCAGGCTCTAAAGTTGTATGTAGTTTATTTACCAAGGATTCAAGCCTAAAATTGTGTGTTTCCCATCGTGTCCAAATATAATATAGTAAAATAACCATTCATAACTCCACTTAAAATGAAGTCCCGCTCAATTTTAAAGAGCTGTCGAAGTATTCCTACTAATATTTACTTCAGTCATACTTATGTGTAATATCTGGATCCAAACATTATTTATTACTTGCATTAAGGAAAGTTATTACTTTCACATATTATGGAAATTAATGTGTACACCATCTTATCACCAATCACTTAATCAATTTATGTGACAAGCTTTCCTACAAGTACAAATACGGTATAATAAATTTATAGCATTTCCACAACTCGCATAAGATATATAACCTCCATTTCAAGGAATCAAACATCTAAACGTGTTCACACTTTGACCAATCTAAAATAACTTTGCGGAGTGTGTCCGATGGTAAATACTTTGAGTAATCCCCCGTGGTAAAATGTCATGTGAGGTAAGCTGTGAGTCTCTATTATAAGTAGGATGACCAGGTGCTAGCTATATAGCACTTTACTGTGTTAACTACAGCGCTCCCTGCTCCGTAGTCTGTTAGACTAGAACACTAGGCTCTACTATAATTATTGGTGGTGGTATTACGTTGGTAAGAAGCATTTAAAACCAATATTGCACCTGGTAAAGTGGTAAAAGCTTATTCTAACCAATAAGCAAAGCTTTAGACTAAATGTTTCATTACTTTATGAGCGTATTAGATCAATGAAAATCGATGTAAAGTTTAGAGAGAGCTAAAGCCCAACAACTCTTGGTCAAATGACCGTATACATGTGAATGAGCGTGATTCTAGGGGAAACTAAGCAACTTGTATTATCATAAATGTAACACTAAGAGCGAGGGCTACATATTCTTTTATACAAATAATGGAGGAATGTGAACTGCCAGTGATAAGGAGATCGTACTATTTATTTCAAGACATGCCTAAAGAACAAGACCTGTGAACAGTAATATCATATCTAGCTTTTATCATCATGGTTACTTCTGATGAGATACAATAAAATTCTACTTTTATTGGGTCATGAGAACTCCATCACGACCATATTCTCAGACTTTAAATAACTCCACGTGTCCTTCATCTTGTATATCTATTATATTATAATAATGCTGCTCTCAACCATACTCTAAAGTGTAAAACTGGTAAAAGCTGTCTGACCATTATACACAGCTTTACTCAATGTCTTTATAAAAGCATCATGAGAGTCCGAGGGAGCTAGAGAGGGCTAGAGAGCTAGAGAGCCCCCCACTTTACAGAAGAATACAAACTTACAGCTTACTCTCTCGGAAGAACACATTGCAAACTCACAAACTCACTGTTTTATTGTACATTTACCAGCTGATAGTGTTAGTAACGGTTTCTCAATTTACAGTGATCTATATTCTAAAGGTGTACAATACAACAGCGTTGTTATAACTAACAATATAACTATATAATATAATTAACAATAATAACACAGGTGTAGTGCACTATATTATATATTATTATTAGTGGGCACCCTCTCGTCTCCAATAATGATAACTACGTGATTTTATTTAACTAAAGCAAGTTATATTATGTAGCTATTTAAAGTTACCGCTGTTACCTCTCCCTTCACAGTTGAGCGTACTGTGTATAATGTGTACAGTACTGTGTATAATGTGTACAGCACTGGCCGTAGTACCGGATATGTTAGCAGATAAGCTAACCAGAGCTCAGCGAGCTTGGTGGAGCTAGGAAGTACGACTGGTATTGCGGTGGAGAGTGGAGGGGTTAGTAAAAGCAGTGCGGTTGGGACAAGGTTGGTGCAGGGGTCAGGATATGATGTGATTAATAAGCAAGTTATTGGTGGTTCTGTTGTGGCTTCATTACCGCTACTCGCAAGGTATTTATTATTTACATTCCATTACGTTTTGAATGCATTTTAGGCAGGCAGGTAGGTAGGAATAGATGCATTAATTGATTTAATTATAGTACAGATTAGGTTAATTCAATGCTGATATACATTTTTAAATTTATCACGAGGAATGTCCCTGAGTACATACCTCCTTTTGTTCGAGCCTAGAAACGTGATTCTCATAATTTATTACTACATACATAACCGCAGCGCTTTACAACACAGAAGGAAATATAGAAAAGAAGAATACAGTGAAAAGAAGAAAACAGTGAAAAGAAGAAATCAGTGAAAAGTAAGTAAATTACCAAGTCCTGGTTCTGTTTTGAGAGTTCCTTGTTTTTCTCCTCCAAATTAGCACAGATAGTAGACAGTGAAACCCGTCTCTTTTTGCCGTCCTGTCCTCCACTTTGCTTTTTCTGTGGGGGACATGGGGTCAGAACACCTTCAGTGTGATTGAGGTGAGAAGTGGTGAGTAGTGGTGAGTAGTGGAGAGAAGTGGAGAGAAGTGATGAGAAATGGTTGGTAGTGGTGAGAAATGGTTGGTAGTGGAGAGAAGTGGTGAGTAGTGGAGAGAAGTGGTGAGAAGTGGTGAGTAGTGGTGAGAAGTGGTGAGTAGTGGTGAGTGAGTTGATCGAGGCTATTTGATTGTTATTTGTCAGAGATTGCTTTCTTGTTCAGCGTACTTTTTCTTGGCAGAGCAATCGGACGGTGAAAAGAAGATGACAATTTTCTCATATTTGTGGAAGAGTTGAGTTTATAAATGGCAAAGTCTGCAGCTAGCCATTAGATACACAGCAAAAGACGTTAATCATCGCTCAGCCATCCTTTCAGGGCATTACGTGCATCATCGTAGTGTACTTGCTGCATGAAGAACACCAAATTTATGATCTAACCGTGAAATACATACTGTTATAAATGAGATTTACTACCTAACACTTACAACTACTGCATTGGCAAGGAATTTTATTACTGTAGACTTGTTTGGATGTCTGCATTACATGATCATTATTAATATGACATTTTATGTGTGTGTAAGGTGAGTTGTACGTTTCGAAAGATGACTTTGTGCTGTCAGATTAATTAAGATATCCTCATGTGCGATAAGTGTATTTTAGTTTAAATGTCAACCTATCTTACAGCACTAATATCGCTTCTTAGCTGAATTCTATAAAAGCACTGGCCGAGTTTGTTGTGATGAGTTTTGTGATGGTCCATGGCGTGACTGAAGATATGAATGTAGGTTCTTAGTTTCGTCACATACCTACTGCAAAAAGAATGTGAAGAATGACACCTAACCCTAATCAGGTTTACAAACATACCACATTCAGGACATTCACGGGATTAATTAATACATGCGATAAGAGTTCAAATAGTACATCACACAGTCCATGCTCTTAGTTGTGAAATCTGATCCGATTGCGTGAATAAAAAGGAAACAAAATGTCACCCAAAACTGAGTGTTGAATTTAAAACATGCCTCATCACCGATCAGTTACGAATGAACTAAGAGAAGATGATATTATATCTAGATAAGATGATTTTATGGTATCGGACTACACCCAACTATCGCACTACACATTCATCAACATCAAGTGCAGTTCCAGTGTAGACTGTAGGGGCAGATCAGAAGTCAGAACCAAGGTTAAGAGCAGAGGTTCAGACTTCAGAATAAAGGAATAACTAGCGAGCTATCATGTCAAGAAAGAAAGCAAGATCCATACACGTTTCATACAAGATCTGATAGATTTACCGATGCAACATTGACCCCATGATTGTCGTTTGCTTTCCCATTCATGACAAAATTGCTTTTGGTACTGTACGCAAATTTGACACGTTTGCGAGTTTTGCTAGCTACCGGCTGTGTGCTGGATGAGTTGCTGTTGCTGGTTTTCTGGAGCTGGTCGTTGAGGTTATTTTCCAACTGGACCCTGGTCTTTCGCTCTTGGAACATCTTCCCAACCTGTGAGAACTTGACACTACACTGACTGTCACAATTTAAACAGCACCATATTACCGATGTACACAACATGAGTCATTATGTAATTATATAATTGATTGTTGCTTTGTCACCAGTCACGGCGATTTAAACCCAAGAGCCGCTAATTAGGCTGACCTCATTTCTATACATAGCTAAACGATCAACAGTAACCAAGTAATCAGAAAGCCCCAGCTATTATCAAACATTTAAGCAATCCAACGAACACTGAAACGAACTGTTAAATTGAGAACAACTTACGAGGGATTCATTCTCAGAGTTTAAACTGTTAATTTTCTCTTCAAGCTGCTTAATTCGGGCCTGCAGCTCAGTGTTTCTCTGCTGAAATCCCTTCTCTCGCTCTTCTTGACTCTTTCTCTGTAAAAAACAGAATATTAGAAAACAAAGAATTCCACATTTAAACATACATCATTTTCCTTCAACGAGCACAATTTGTACACACCCGAAAACAAAATTATGCAGCTGTGCGACCGTTACATCCGGTGGTGTAATGATATGATTTAAACGCACCATCCGTCGGACAAAGACTGATTAGAGATGGTAAACTTCACATCAGGTTTCTAATTTCACACAATATCAAATGAAACAGGCTCCACGGAGCCAATCATTCAGCCACGTGATCATGTGATTAACACTGGTACATCAGCTGGATATTGTCACGTGCTAAACGTTGATAAAACCCCCAAACATTCCAAAAATATATGATTAGCTGCTATAACATTCTTTAAACGTCATATCTCACAAAACACACCAAAAACGTATAGCAGAATTACACTTGACGGGCTTGTTTTTGACAATCCCAAATTTATAAACATATTTTAAAGGGGTGTTAAATTTCGCAGTTTCCAGCAATAGATAGGAAGTGAAGCAGAATCATACACAGCACAACTTTTGACTTTCATTTTTCAATTGAACCCATTCTCATACAATTAACTTACTTTTACGTTTACCAAACGAATTGTACATGTTACAAATTTAAATAAGATAACATAAAAACATTAGCTACGCCCAGATTATAAGAAGACTTATTTTAACTCCAAATATAAAATAGACAGGTGCCTTAACTTAGGGTCACCCGGTCTCTTCTAATTTGCAAATCTTTTATCTACATAATATTTATCGTAGTGTCAAATTCTGCTGGCAAAAAAAACACCAAAGTTACATAAAAAGCTGGCACATAAACTTCGCACAATGTGTATTGTACGGTGTAAGAAAGAGAATGTATTACTTCGAGTAAAATGGACAGTTTCTGTCAACGCCAACTTGAAATATATATGCGCCTACATCCCAGTACTTAGTTTTCTGTTGAGACTAGAAACATTCCTTAAATCGCTTTTCGTAAGGCAAATAATTTAAAGAATTAAAAACGTTCAGTGCTTATCAAAGAACAAGGTTGGTGCAGTGCTGGAGTTATGATAGATTGGAATGTAATACATTGGTGAATAACATCTTATAAATCTCAGTGATCGGGAATAAATCAACAACATAGAAGCTTCTGGATAACCGTGAATATCGTTCGAACGATACCACGATGAGGAACTGAATCATATCAGAGAGAGAGAGAGAGAGCTTCAGTAATCTGGTGCTAGAAATCCCCGGGGTATAATCACAAGAATCCCAGCGTTACATGTACGGGTATTTCACAAGATCTCACCTCGACCCTGACGGGCCCGAAACTAGGGGGTCGTGCCCCAGCGTTGGGGCTGGACGGAGTGGTAGCATGAGACTTGCGAGCTGAGGAAACTGAGGAGCTACTGCTGGTGCGACTTAGTCGTCCGTATGAGAAGGTGGAGGAGGAGGAGCGCGCGAGATTCCCGCTGGCGCTCCTGGCGCTCCCCCGCGGTTTGATGACAGGAGGAGTGTGCTGCTGGAAAATCTAGCTAAAGTACCGGCACACAGACCTTAGTTCACAATTTCATCGCTCACTTTCATAATATTATCTAACATTTAAAATAATAAAATATTTAGTTGTCTTACCGGGCTGAAGGAGGAGTTCAGATCGATCATACTCATACTGAGGTTGATCCTCTCACTTAATTTCTGTTCGTTCAGCTTTTCCTGCAGCTCTTCCTTCGTCACCTCGATCTGAGACATTCGCTTGCTCTTCCGAGACAGCTCTTTTTCCTTGTCCATTACTCGTCGCTCAACTTGTCTCAGCTCGTCCAACTATGCAACGTAATATTACGATGAAGGCACATACAATTACAATAGAGGCCTATAACACTGCACACAGATTGGCAGCTAGGTGTTGGTCTTAGCGATTATGATCTATAAGGTGTTTAAGCAAGTATACGACTGGCCACTGGCTAATCTATATCATGGATATGATTCGATGGGACCACTGATATATTATCATTCTTACAGACGTTAAGACCTTTTATTTACCTGTTTTCTGTTCTCAACCGTTGAAGATCTCTTGATTTTAGACAGCTCCCTCTGATGTTGATCGTGCATTTGTCTCAACTGTATAGCTTTCTCACGGTCACTATCCTTGATAATATCTAGTTCTTCCTCCAGGCGCACTTTCTCTGTCCGCAGCTCAAACATACTCTGCATGAGCCGCGCTTTCTCAGTCTCAAACTGATCCCGGAGCTCTGAGGAGGAGAGGTGTTAGAGGAAAAGAGAAGTAAAGTGTTGTCAGATATATGTATTTACCTGTATAATATTACTAGGGCTGAGGGTGTGGTGTATTTACTTGTAATAATATTACTAGCATGATTGTCAAATCTTGACAAGTCAAGAGAATAAGTAAGTCGGTGTATATCTGTGGGGATATACAAATATATTATAATTATATGGCAATCGAGTCAGAGAGACCCTGCAAAAATCAGGATCAGGTCGAAATGTCTGTCAGTTTATTCGGCAATGTTTCTTACTGTTAATCGACATGCACTTGATGCATTTCTTGTTGTCGCTACGACCATATTGGAAGGTCATCCTTCATTCCCCAACCTCCGAGTAAAAAGTGTATATCTCCCTGTCTAATAGCAGTACAAATCACACAGCCAGGAGAGGATAGTTTTATTCTGATGAAGTGTTGACCTAAAGATTTCAACTGGTTCTGATTTTAATAGAGTGTAGCCCAAAGTAAAAAGTGAGTATTCCGGAGGGATGTACAATTAGTGTTCTTTGAGAATTCCTTTTTTAGTGCAGCTAGACTTCTATCACTGGCCTTTATCTAGCTTATAGGGAGGATGGTAATGAGTAAATGTGAGATAAGGGGGAAAAATGTAAAAAGATAAATATTTCAAGAAATGAAAAAAGCAAGCATCGTAAAAACAAAAAATGATATGTACTGATATCATTACCAATCATTAAAATATATATAATATGAATCGCATTTTACTGATAACTTGAAATAAGATAAAGATAATTCAAAAATTCAAAGATTTGAGCGTCAATATTACCATAATAATACGATGACCATTTATCAAGCAGAGCTAAATCAGGCTTGGAATAATTTTCACACCTACAATTGCATACCGTGAATTATATAATTTAATTAAATTGGACAAACACAAAAGAATTTTTGCTAGGCTGACATTTGCCGATCATTGGTATGATATTTTGTGGTCTGAAGCCAAGAATGTAAGAATTGGCAAGCTTACATTCTAAATCTTGAACATCCAACACCGATCTCCATGGAGATTGGAGATGGTAAACTATGAATAAACAAGATAAGTGATCTCATAGACTATCTTCAATGATGAAAATTGGCCAAATTATACACGAATCATTCAATCTTCTATTTACTCGTATGAGGTACACAAGTTAAGAACTATGTAATACTTATATGTGATTTTGGATTGCAATTGTGTGTAACTGAACACACAACACAGGTTAAAAATAAAAACTGTCATAAGTTTCGGTTTTGGAATTGAAAACCCTGTCAATACCAAGAAATGCAAGTAAAAGAGAGATAAGTGTTATTACAGAAAAACAGAGAGCTACAACTGAGATGCACAGTAAAAGCACGATCTCTCATCCCGTATCGAAAATAAATTTTCTTATAAGCAGAAATTAACAAGCAAAAATTTGTCAAGATGGCATGCTGATTTAGAAAGTTGGCCAGAATTGAGAAGAACGTGGATATTTTTAAACATGTGCCACAAAGTTTGATGTCATGTCATGTGCCAGCTGCGTGTCGTACACCAGCAAAAACGAATCACAGAGCTTCTGAATCGGCGGTTAAACTGATTATTGTAATAATTATTCTAAATTCAATATATGCTAAAAATGTAGATTATTGCACATGCCGCAAATACCACCATTATAGCTTTATCAAGATATAACAGTTTTAATTCGTTCTAATCAAAATTATTAATTAGCTTTTCCTAAAGATATTATCTAATCGTGTTGATGAGGTGACAATTCTTAGTAACGAAGGCGGGCTAGTCGCTACAATAGACAATAACTGTTTCTAATTTCTATTGAACTGAGGCGTTGTACACGAGTAACGGACAAACACACACAGAGAGTACAACCACAGCAAATTCCCAAAGTAAACGAGCACAATTAGTGACCAAGTACTATATTATATTGCCCGTAGTACTATATTACATTCAACAGAGCCGTAAACCGGTAAAGACGACTACTCCTTGCTTTACATATTAGGTCAAATAAAGTATAACCCACAATTCAATGAAGCTAGTGAGTTGGTTTTGTAGATAATATCGGTAAAAACGTGGCAAAGTATTTAGGACAAATTATACAATTGAAAATAATTATATAAAATGCAAAATGTTATATGTTATGGGAAACAAAGATTTTATATTAAACTTGGGTATAAATTGCATTAAAGTTACAAGTATGTAATGTTTGGTAATTCACACGTTAATTCATTTACTAATGATAAACAATGGTTTCAAGAACAATGGTTTTAAGAACAACTCACTGCAAACAAGTCGCTGCACAAATCATACCGGTACTGATACTATTTATGGACCACAATTTGCTGCAGATTTTTGCTAATAATATCTGTTCGTAGCCGTCTAGCACTTAGGGCACTTAATGGCATAAGTTTTAATGTATAATCTTATAAAATATATGATGATTTTAAGAACAGAGGAAGTGGTTAAAGGATCTCTATGGTAAAGGTAAGTCAGGCAAGTGCTTATAATTCTATGATAAACTGGTCGCCTTTATAACACCAACGGGGAATGTAAAAGTAAAAAGGCACACCAAAACCTTTTAAAATACATTCGACCGTTAGTTAAATGCTAATACTGTGTCAAAAAGCTTGCTTTATTATGAACCTCTCTAATTCCTCTCCTTCAACAAATACTCAATAAACAAGAATTTGTCGAAAGCGAAAGTAGACGACACATAAACGATCAAATGGGCGGACAGCAGTGCTACAACTGCACAATAACATGGCAGTGATAACTAGATTACACGATTGTGCAGCAACAACAAGAGAACGACTATTACATGGAATAATAACTTGTCATTGAGTTAACGATAAGCTGCCGGCAGTTAGTGTGAGCAAAGTGATGTAACTAGTGACACAGCTACTTAACATACCATGATAAGTCCAGATCTACTGGTGACACTGTACTACTTAGATAGGTGTGAAGGAACTAACAGATCCGGCTCATGTTTCAACTAGAATAAAGATTTGCCAGACAGTAATCGTATTGTGTCGTTAACTAACGAGTAACGACCAACTGTTGTTAACTGATGGCTGACTATCGTTTACTTGAACTAACGACAAAAACACATAATGGTATTAGAATGAGGAGTTATACTCGTCATCACGTATCTTAAATAGAAACCTATGGAAAAACACATAATATATAAAATATCTACATTTTTAGAAATCATGCATTTGTATGTCCTACCCGGGCCAATTTGCACCTAATATAGAATGGAGCGCATATTCCTAAAGAATTTCATCTATGCAGAATATTGACAGGGCGTGCTGAATGCTGCGAGGCAGTTCCCATTTACACTCCGTATAACAATATAACAAACGGCAATATATAAGGTTCGTGAGTAAATCTATCTAGACAAAATACAACAGTCCACAAACATCCGAATATTAAATATATTCTATTCACTACTAAAGCACCCATCGCGGGTTGAATATTACTGCCTATACTAGTACTTAGACAAGTAATAAAAATACTAATACTATTACAACTACTACTTAGGAGTGTAATAAAACTAATAATACCACTACTTATAGAATGGTAATAAAACTACTGAGGAAAGTAATTTAACACCTCACCATTCTGACAAAAACAGTTCAAATTGTACCACCCACCCACTCTGGCACACATCTCCAATATAACTACATAATATTATGTTCCTCTTACCTGACCAAGACATTAAAAGTATTGGATGTCACGTTGACATTTATTGCAATCTTCTTGCCAGTTGACCAGTCAGCGCCGGCAAAGTTGAGCGCTGGAGAAGAATCAGGATATTTATATTATATACGAGAAGGTGTTTCAATATCAGCACAACTACAAAACTACCAGCCATTACAACACCACGACGGACGTGGTGCACAGTTCAATAAGGTGCGCGGTGTGTGTTGAGATCAGAGCTGATTGGAAAACTCGAGTCTTCGATATCTCAGTGGTCGGTACATATTGATGCAGATTGCAGCTAAAACTTGAGAGTTCTTAACGTGTGTATAGTGTTTAGATTGTGGAGTGGGATGGTCAGCATGGTTGATGAATTATGTGATGACGAACATGTCAACCCTCTTCAGTAAAATTTGGTAATGATGATGCCTGAGGGTTGCTGTTGTAAAATAATAATGTCCTTTCAGCTCAATTCATCAGTCTAAAACAAAAAGATGTTACCCCGAGGCTATCAAACCCCGGTTAACATAATATTAATTACATAAGTTTTAGAACAAAGACACGCCAAAGGTATTGAATTTACCAAACATTTAGCCACAATAAACACCGAGAAATGAGCCAACCTTTAAACAACATACAGCCTTTAAACATATAGCCACCGGTTGCTATACATAGCTATAATATAGTCATGTTTACAAAGACCACCGTATAATAGGTCACGGTTGAGATTCAACCTTTAACATACAGAAGGTCGTGTATTGTAAACAAAGGGGAGGGGGCGGCTTTACAACACAAACTACAGACTGAGAGGTAATGTATAATAATAGGTAAAGTGGGAGGTTATGTATAGAAGAGCAGGTGGTGGTCAGCTCAAGAGAGCGCCATGATGTAAGGGTACATTGAGGACTGAGGCATGATACACGCGGGATTATGCAGATTATCAATGTAGTAACATTTGTAACAGATAAGTAAAACTCTGATAACAAAGACAACCCAGATCAGAGTAGATGCTGTACAATGACCCACACTGACTAGTGGTTAGTGGACCTGTATATAACAGTACTGGCTAGTAGAGAGTAGTAGTGGCTAGTACTAGAACCAGAACATTAGGGACCTGATATACGCGGTAATTTAGCTAGCTTCTAGGATATAAACATACAATCTATTGCGTGTACAATAACGATACTGGAGGGAGTGAAGGAAATATTGCTACACCGTAATGCTCGTTATCGTTGCTAAGGACCAATGAAACGAATCAGATAATTTGATATATTAGATTGGGACTCATGCCAAATATTTAAACATAATGAATACGTTATCTTGCCGCGTTATTGTAATTAATTATCTTGAAACAGTTATTAGAGTCCTGTCTAGTGTTCACTCTACATAATACACCCTAAAATTTGACGTCAACATGTTCATAAGAATGTGATGTATATTATACAGTATAAATACCCTAAATACCACAACAACAGTCAGCTAAATATACAGTGATCATGCAGTATGTGAATACTACTAGGCCGTGTAATGAGCCGTTGCTAAGCAACCTGGTATTGATTTGTATGTGTGTACCACAACGACTGACTGGAATGCATGTTGTGTGTTCATCAAATATAAATCCAGCTAGTGCAGCTTTTAGTTACCAGATGTCCATATTATATTGCTTTAAAGTAAATAGCACAGCGGATAGCCTATATTATATTGTAGTAGAGTTAGCCATGAAATTAGACTGGGGGCAGGCTTGTCAGATGTCTAAATAGGTAGCCTTGTAGTGGTCCAACTTAGTGCACTGTTCAGTGTTCAGCTAAAATCTAACCAATAGTTCATTACTAGTTACACCACTAGTTATATACTAGTTACACTACTAGTTATATAATATACTGGTTACATCATCTACTAGGTAAGTGTGTAATTGTAAAACTTCCTGTCACAGGACTAAACACAGTACAGTAGGGCTAACTGGAAGAGGAAACAGTGGTAAACCACAATTCTCCAGTTAGTGTACCATACTAGTGTGCACTGTGCCCACCAACAATCAGCACACAATAAAACCTTTACATTTCTTAGTTTTATTATTAGTGCACTGACGGAATGTAATGACTGTAGAGTGATAATATATAATATAATATTATAAACTATATATATTTACTCAGTAAACAACAGGTTAAAGTAATGATAGCAGTAAGGTAACGGTACATTAGTTTGTACATTAGTTTGTACATTAGTTTGTACATTAGTTTGTACATTAGTTTGTACATTAGTTTGTACATTAGTTTGTACATTAGTTTGTACATTAGTTTGTTCGTTTGTACCCACATGGGATTACAACCCCACAAAGTACTGGGCATCTTGTTACCGTCCCGTTTACTACCATAGTCATTAGCATATCCATTGTAAACAGCTAAATCTGGGAAAGAACAGAAAAAATATCGGATTTATTTTATAATCGATATCGAATAGATTACTAATCTATTCCTATCTATCAGTGGCCAAGACAGTGATCAAGTTAACACAAATTGTAGTACAGTAGGGTGGTACGGGGAAGGACAGGGAGAGTGCACATATCATTAACCAATTGTCAAGGGATATAATGCACATATACTGTGTGATGTGTGACATGTAATGTGTGATGCGTGACATTCATGGTTTTAGGGCGGAGATAAGATCACGCATCATGGCACTTTTGGCACATTTTATGAAGATTAAAGAAGCATGAAAATCATAGAGATTAGTAAATATAATCGGAACAGCTCACAGCAGAAAATATTGGAAAACGCATCAAACAAAATGAAACGGGTCACAATTGGGCACCATTTACAAAATTCAGAAAAGATATCAAACATCAAGACAGGTAGGTAACCGCAGGAACGCGATAATTTGAATCATGAGTCATAAATTTGAAATTCAACAAATACGCAGAAAACGAGTGACTAACGGTCACAACAAAGAGACAATGATCACAATTTAGCGGTTACCAGACACGTAATAAATCGTGACCTACTAATCTTCATCCTATTTTTCTGAAATCACGCTTGAACCAATATATTGGATTACAAACACATTCCTTTTGTACATATTTTGTTGTTGTTGTGCAGGTAGGACTTTTTAGTGCACTGAGTACTATTTTGCACATATGTTATTCTATATATTTGGAGAGATCGGCGAAGGTATTTGATATACGTATGACAGATATTATGTCTGTTATTATATTAAGGACCCGCGATTGAGCATGTAAGTTTGCTAAGCAAAGTAAAGAAAATAACAACAACATTTTTTGATGCTTTTACTAGTACAAGTCAACTTATTACGTAAATATGAACGGCGGCTACTCCGGATCGATGAGCAAATATAATGTTGTAATGAAACGGTCATCTTCAAAATTTAAAACAGAGTGAGTGTGTACTAAAATATTGTACAAGATAGTGTTGTAATAAGTTATTCTGACCAATAACAAGCGTTAACACAACAAACTGCTCATGATTAATATTTAATAGGGTGAATAACTGTCTTGAAAGATAAACAAACAATATCACAAGCAGATGCCTCATCATACGTGTAATACTATATAGATGTAAGTTGTAACATAGATGTACTTCAAAGTGACTGTGACCACCTTGCTTGATGTAAGATGACTCGTGCTGCTTAACCGGTTACCCACCATTAAGGACGGTCCTACCCAGACAGATTAGATTACGTAACCCAATCAGGTGACGGTTAATTTCAGATGTGATCCACAGCACTGAGCACATGCTGGCCACGCTTCACAATGTAATTATAGTTTTGAGATAATCTGTGGACCATGAATGATTAGAGAAGACTTGAGGAATGAAGGTACAGCAGTCTTACACTGTTTTAACAGAAATTCCTGAGATGCCAACAGTTTCCAACTTTGAGAACAAAAGCCTTTCATAACCCCAACTCTCTTGACGATCAACATTTTACCATTATCATACTAAATATTTTCCGGAATTGGATTTTATCAGATCATAAATTGTTCAAGCTTACCTAAAAACAATTTTGCACTGAAATTATCTATGTAAGGGCTAGTCTCATATTTCATCACATAATGCAAACCACATTAGCAAAGTCATTAAATTTACGTCGATGACATAATTTCTTTATCGTTAGATGTGCGGTCACTCAACAGTCAAGACGTCGTAATATATCTGTAATTAGGGCCACCGATAAAGGAGAAGTCTGTCATGTTTCATAATTGTAATATCAGTATACTTCACAAAATGTTATCACAGTGTTATGACGAGATCACAGGAAACTGAAATAGTAGTAGTAGTAGTAGTAAACCCGCGATGGGGTGGCATGTGCCTCAATAAAAATATTACAATCATTTATTATTATATCAATTTATCATTAAATATTTCAAGAATATCAATAACGTATGGTTGATCCTTCACACTTGGTAAAATATATAAAAATAAAGTTAATCTACACTAAAGAATAAATAATCTATATTATATAAATCAACAATATTAACTCCCCATCTTCTTGTAGTCATTTATCAAAGCGGTAGAAATCCAAGTAATTTTAGTAATAGAGTGATTTTAAACCCCAAACATACCGGAAATATAAGCAGATTCTTGTTCGTTGGTCAAGGAGGTATGGCTGCCGGAATCATTTTCTGTCTGTAAGACTTGAAGCTCTGCCTGCAGCACTCTGATCTCGTCATCCTGAAAGAAATGTAGGATTAATATTAAACTCATCAAATTAAGTAATACAAATTTCAAGGACAGATTTAAATTAATAATTGGTGTTCAACACTACACATGTACCATCGTAAGAAATAAAAATAGATCTAAGCATAGTATAATATTTGAACTGATACTTGAAACAAGACGAGCACTGCTCTTGGGCCTGAAAAGTATCAGGACTCTACCAACTACGATATCCTTACCTTTTGATTTAAAACTTCGCCAATTCCTCTGTCTTTCTTTTTCAGGTTCTCGAGGATTTTATTAACCTGAAGTTATGGTTCAAATGAGAATGATCCACCACAATTGTGATACAGTATAAGGAACCAGCCTCATCAGTGATGACCTTTTTGTCATGCTTGGATGGCTTGGATATATGTTTTTAGAGTATGTTTTTATTGTCTTATTTAGGTCTTATTGGTCTCTGGTCGACTCCTATAACAATTCTTTCTGTGACTATACCAAACAACGGAAACACAACTAAGCTAGTGTATAAAAAAATACAAGGCTTACAGCATCATTTTTCTCCTTCAAATATTTTTTCTTGAGTGTGATCTTCTCTTTCTCGCATTTTACTTGTTCTTGCTCCCGAGCATGGCGTACCTCTATAACTTTGTCATGGTGGACCTGAGTGAATCATATATTTTTGTTTAAAGATGTTTCATGAGATTCAGGAAGATAAACCAATTATTTAGAGTCCAGCTTTTGGCTGTTATTTTTGACCACTGATAGATTGAAATAGCTCATTTACTTGGAAGATAATAAATAGGCAAAACGGTAAATCACAGAAAACATATTAATAAGATTTATGTATAGCTTACTTGTTTGACTTTAACCCTTTCTTGTCCTAGCTGCTCTGTTAGATCAACAACTTTTTGTCGAAGTTCATCGATCATCGACCGGTCACGGTCTGCTGGCATACTCCCATGGGCTGCAATCAAATAACTTCATTTTTTAATAACAATATTTTTCGATTACAATATTTTTGAATAAGAAAAAGAATGGTTAACACGGAAAACCGCTAAATTCAGAAAATAGTAAATATGTTATAGAAGAAAGGCAAATAAACAATTATAAACTGTGTAAAAAACTGCTTAACAGGGTAGCAATACTTCTGCTTCTATCATTTGTAGCAATCGAAGTGGAATATGCTTCCTTGAGGCAATTATCATAACTGCAGCAGAGGCGGCTATTGAATGAAACGAAAAGTTTTCAATGAAACGAAAAGTTTTATTTTACATTCCTTTAATCATAAATAGAATAAGAGCTTAAACCACTAATTAGTTAGCTAGACGTAAACTTGAGGAAATATTCTTTATTTAAAAAACTTTATTTGGTTGTTAGCATTTTTATTATGGTAAGTGGTTGAGTTTAGGGGAATTTAGTGAGACAGGGTCAGTTTCTCTATTGTCTTAGAAAAATGTCTACTTTACAGTAGGCAATGCTGAGTGGCAGGAATGAAGGACCAAAACGCTTGGGGCTAACAATGGCCCATAGGGCGTCCGTGGACGCCTTAAAATTATTATCTGGTGGCTGGTGCTTAAAATAGAAATAGTAATTAGTAATAGTGTTAGGAAATAACAAATCGCAATATAAAGGTATTCATTTACTATCATACGTTTTAATGTAAGCGCACGCATGATCTTCGTGAAATTTTGTGTTGTAGGGAACTACTCAGCCGCGCAGTTTTAACACATAGTTAATTGTAAACGTTACAAAGCACATCGTGCGCATCCCACTACAGATAATCTATTATGATTTGCCTCGATTTGAAGGTCCAGGACCCTTTGCAGTTTGAACTATTGACTGCTATGATACTACGCGGCTGAGATCGTACACGTGTGGTGTCCTGTTTCACCCATGTTATAAGTTTTTGTTTTTGTTTGCTGTTGCCTGTAAAGTGTTACACATTACATTTACAAGGCCCTGTGTGTAATGTAATCGGTAGTTTGGAGGGATCAGCCTGAGCCAGCTCCCAAGCCCCCCCCCCCCCCCCCCCCCCCCCCCCCCCCCCCAGTCCATCGATTGGACCCCCAACAAAACTGCCAGCCAGCTCCCACGAGCCGCCTCTGAACTGCAGTCATACATATTAATGCTTTTCAAACAAAGTTACAACGAATTCTTCATGTAGTGCATTCTGGTATGGACAGAATATGCCCGTTTAAAATATTTCCATCACGTTACATTACACAATTCTGAAACACGTATTATATTTACAATAAGTTATGCAATATCACAACATTACAATATGATAATCTATAAAATAAGCTATAAAAAAGGAATACAAATTTAAAGGAATACAATAATATAATATATGATAATCTATAATTTAAGCTATAATAGCAATCACCTCCTAAATTATGTTAACTTTCATTTTAAAATGCAATCTTCTTGATTTTATGTCATATATTAAAAAAAACAATGTTTGAGGAAGGTTTCAATCTCTTGCTGTAATATAACCAATCAAGATCATGTTATCAACTATACAGTTAGGGTGTTACCCACCCTAACTAACCCACATATGACAAAAAAGATATGGAACAGATCTATAAAGCTCATGAAATGAGGAAAATGAAAAAGTACAACAACAGAATCATCCAGGTGGAAAAAGGCACCTTTACCCCACTTATATACTCAACAAATGGCGGATGGGGTCCACAAGCCACAAGATACCACAAGAGACTCGCTGAAAAACTATCCCAGAAGAGAGGAGAAGACTATGCGGCTATTATGTGTTACATGCGCACCAGGATTAGATTCTCAATCCTCAGGAGCACTCTGATAGCGGTCAGGCGTGAGAGAGGGAGACGGCAATCGTATACATTGCCAGTCAGTGTAACTTCGTTTAACTTGATACCTGCCACCATGGACTATGAATGTTTCTAGACACTATCCTTTTGATATTGAGATATTGGTATCTCAGATCACGTGTACATCGTTCCTTTTTTATGACACAGTAATTTATTGACACTCTCAGCTAAAATTTTAATCATTGAATCAGTATTTTTATCTGTGCTCTGCGTAATGCATCACATGAATCAGTTTTTTAATCTATCAACTTATTACACATTTGTGCTCTGCTTTAGCATCACTTGACTATTTAAAAAAATTGTTTGTTCAGGCCATGACCTTATAGTCAGCCAATTGGCCATTGCTATATTATGCGTATATTGTTTGAATATTCTCGTCTTGTTTGAGCACTATACACATTTTAGTGGTTAAAATGACTTTGCACTGAACAACAGGTCCAGGACTGATATAATATATTTTGATTTTGCGAAAGCTTTTGATAGCGTTTCGCATGACCTCATTTTAAGCAAATTAAAGAATATTTTTAATGTCGATGGACTAATGCTTAAATTTATCAAGTCCTATCTTGAGGGGCGACAACAACAAGTAGTGTTAGAAGGCCAAACGTCTTCCTCTCTACCAGTTCGGTCTGGTGTCCCCCAGGGTTCACCAATTTAGTCTGCAACAATTTTAGTTTCATTTTTGCCTTTTTGAAACCATTATCTATTCCATTTATTTCATTATTTAGCTAGAGAGCTATTTTTCCCAATTTTGCACCCAAAGTATTAATGATTTTAAGTTTAACGTCCGGCATATTGATTAAATGATTTGTTGCTATATAAAAGTGTAATGAACCTCGGAAATTCCAAGAATTTCCAGTCATTCTGTGCTTGAATGATTTTGTGTTTAAGATATATCTCCTTAAGTTTAGCAGATCATTTATATAAGAAGTGTATCTGAATTATAGAATAGGCTTACGTTTAATTAACAAACGGAGCTTTTTGTGTTTAACCAAGGGACAATTCGACACGGTTGATGACATTCCATGGAGGTGTCCAATCAGAGCGCCACAGAAGAACACCTGATAGCAGACCGGCCTATCAGTATCACAGTTTCAGACGATGGTCTATGGATCGTAAGGATGGATAATGAGCGGCAGAGTTTAACGATAATGAGCAGCAGACTCAGTGAGATTCGGAGATGATATATGAGGATGACGATCGGAGAACAAGGGAGTCTTAGACCAGCACAGTCGATAGGGTTGTTCGAGTACTCAGGGGCCAGTGCAGTAGGCAGGTTTCGACCGGCTACGCCATGTTTTGATAAGATTGCTAGACGTAGTAATCCAGTAAGTTCTTTTCCTTAATTTGATGTGAGCGTTTAATTTAGCTGTCTTGCTTCTAAGTTCTAATTTAAGAGTTCAGACGTGAATTGATAATAATGTTGTTTTCAAGTTTCTATTCCAGTTTCCTATGTGGCTATAGTAATACGTCATTTCTATCTAGGTTCAACCAGACACGAATACATCTTGCAGTTTTGTTGATAAGATTCCTCCTAAACTAGATGACAATTCCAAAGACCATCATGCGTGTTGGGTTCGTTCTAGAGGTAAATTCCTTTTCTATTAGTCTCAGCATGTTAGATCTAAGAATAATAAAAAGGTAGTCGAACATCGTAGTTCCTTATTCTCAATTAATATCCATTGTACAAAATTACGTTGTCGTTTTCCAGGTCACACATCCACGAGGATTCCTGCTAATACCGTGTTGTTACTTGCTATTGTCAATAACAGCTTGATCGGGCCAAGAATAATTGATTCTACTTCGTCAGCCGAGGTAATTAGTTCAGTTACGACGTCTGCATAAAGTAGTAGATATATTCCATTTTAATTGATTAATTGTTGTATTATAGAGTAAGACTAAAATTTGACATTTCCTTTTATATTAATATTTACATGTGCAAGTTTAAAGTAGTTTCCAGTTGGATGGTTATAAATTGTTTTAACACCATAGTTTAAAGATATTGTTTTCAGACCAGACTTCCTCCACCATTCGTGACGGCCAACCTGTTAAAGATCGAGACACCGTGATACTCCATTCCACCTACACCATAAACCATTGCTTAGAAATAGACTTTGAAAGGTGATTGCACCATCATAGATTTGGACACCAAGATATTTCCCTTAAAATAGGTTATGAGAAGATGTTCTCCCGTGTTAATTAATTAGTATAGTACAAAAAGCTTACTTCCATTGTTATATAATCATTTTTTTATAAGAAGGTTTTTGTTCATTAATTACACTACTATTATTATAGTAGATCTATATTCTTGCTTACATTGTTGTATCAATTTGTGTTAACCCACCAAAATTGAAAGTCTGAATTATAATCACTAACCGCACTAAATTAAATAAGAAGTAACATGAAACTCTGAATTCTAGCAAAACTATGATTTCCCTAAAACAAAAGTTTTAAGACGCTCAATCGTGGGTTCAGAACCTTCCGAGACGGACTCTCTTGATATAACCGGGGCCTCCCATGTATAGTTCTAGCCAAGTCAAAAGGAGCTCTAAATAAATAATTTCTTGGAGGAAATAACGTACTACATATCATGGACATGGGAGAGGTGATTATTACCCGGTGCTAGCAACTAACACCTGTCTAAATTGGTACCGTGGTTAATAACAAAAAGAAATAAAAGAAATAATTTGTGAAATAAAATGCTTTCTATAAATTCTGTGTCATACGTTGTATGACCCGCCGCGCACGAGTGCGCGGCTCCCCTGTATCGTAGAAACGCTATATGCTATAGGGGTGTCCGGTGTCTGCCACTTTTCACTAAGTGAAACGACAATGGGGGTCACCACATAATACAATAAATTCTGGCATCTCAGCACTGGGCACCCGTCTGAGCATTATATAATTGAAATCATAAACTTAGTGGATTACTGCACGTATATTAGTCCGCTCCTACAGTGTACTTACCTGGGGACCTTAGGCTATTATGCGCATGCAGAATGACAGGCTGAGCGCGGCCCACCCTGCGGTTTCTTTGCGTTCGCGACTATACCCATTTGCGATGCCACTGTGTGAATGCAGGTATGACTAATCATATATCATCTTAAAGTACACACTCAGACTCGGACATCGCAACCTTAATCAGTTCTGGGGACTGTTCCTGGACAGAGTTATTAAGGTTTAAAGCTTTCGTGCCGCGCAGTCGCCCCAAACTGGCTAAAAATGTGCACCATCGTAGAATAACTTTGCGCAGGGAATGCGCGTGCACGTTAATGTGATAGTTAGAATTATATTTGATCCATCTAATTAACAGCTAAGTTCGCTAAGCGTAATATCCTCACATGATCACTCGAGTTCGAATCCGACCCTGACCCTATTCACATTTTTTTATCCGAAACAAGTATTTAAACAACTTTCTAGTGATAATAATTACAATAAAAAATGGTTAACCGTAGGATAACTAGTTAGTGGCAACCATATGGAGATAACATTTTACTAATTATAAGTCATTTTGTACTTTATAAATAAACACATTCTTTGAAAAATAAAACATTGTCTCACATAAAAACAGATTAACATTTTGATATGATATCAGAGAATATCAGAGGTAAGGTATTCTCATCTCATCGTAGAAAATCCTTGGTACAACTTGACTGCAACTCCCTGAAAGAAATTGAATTGTTTTATAAAGTCTCATATTAAAATGATTACAGGGGTTTCCAGATTTTAGCTATTTTGATTTAACCTTGATTACCTGATTACCCCCTGATTTCAGTAATTTTGGGATGGGCGTCGCCTCCGGCCTAGTGGGTTGAGAAGTCAAAACTTGGTTTTTATGATGGTTTGGGACATGTACTAACTATTTAACCACCTAAACATATGCCACATACCCCGGAACATAAATCGCATATGGGGGTAAAGATGCTCAGTCTTAATTTGACCTGGATTTCAGCTATTTTATGATGGGCGTGGCTCCTAGGAGTGGCCTGAGTGGGTTGAGAGGTTCAAACTTGATTTTTCTGATGGTTTGGGACAGGTACTAGTTATTCAACCACTAAAACATGTACCACCTACCCGGGAACATAAATCGCATACGGGAGTCAAAATGCTCAGTCTTGATTTGACCTGGATTTCAGCTATTTTGGGATGGGCGTGGCTCCTGGGAGTGGCCTGAGTGGGTTGAGAGGTTCAAACTTGATTTTTGTGATGCTTTGGGACAGGTACTAGTTATTCAACCACTTAAACATGTACCACCTACCCGGGAACATAAATCGCATACGGGGGGTTAAGATGCTCTGTATAGATTTGATCAAGCGAACGCGTGTGCGCGCTCGCGCCAGCCTTTCTGTCAAAGTGTGGCTAAAAAAATTTATTTTCAACACAAAATTAAGAAATTTGCTAGTTTCAGAAGATAAATCCATCAATTTGGGACATTGGGACATCGGAGTGTTGGCTGTATCTGAGTGGTGGGAAGTGATCAGTTACAGTGGCGTAACGTAAGGCCCCGCAGACCCCGCTATGCGGGGGGGCGCCGTGAGAGGGGGGCGCCAAAATTCTGCCGCCCCCCTCATAATTTGGCGCCCCCTAGAAATATGGCGCCCCTGGTAATAAAATACTTGGTATATAAGGTGCAAAAGTTGTTAAATATCGTGCTACTGTTCTAAGATTTGTAAAATTCTAAAATTAAATATAGTGCAAAGCAAGCAGCCAGCGCGCGCAAAAAACACGTGGTAAGTGATAACGATATTGCAATTGTTATACAAACGTGGTACACAAAATTCGCGCGTGAGAATGTCTTGATTTTCTGGCAATTTTATATATCAATGTTTACTTTTAACTTAGATCCCAATTTAATCGGCAGTCACCTATTGTACACAGGAGGAGCAAAGTGCAAAGAAACTGTCACTAACTGCTACAAACTGCCACTAACTGCCACAAACTGCCACTAACTGCCACAAACTGCCACTAACTGTTACAAACTGCCACTAACTGCTACAAACTGCCACTAACTGCCACTAACTGCCACTAACTGCTACAATCGCGCCCACGCACTGCGCGCGCAGTTTGCAGCAGTTAGTGGCAGTTAGTAGCAGTTAGTGGCAGTTTGTAGCAGTTAGTGGCAGTTTGTGGCAGTTAGTAGCAGTTTTCTGCAGTTGCGCCGAGCCTTTTAGCAATTTGTCTTTGGCGCCTTACATGCCACATGACTTATTGACATTGTATAATTGGTCTAAAAACAATTTTGTATTATTAGAAAATATATGAATTTGGGACAAAATAATTTACTATCGAAGGAAACAAATATTAACTTTTTGACAAGAAAAGCGATTACCAACTAGTACTACAGTTACACAAACACTGCATGGCAATACGATTACAAATTGTTTAAATGTTAAATCCGGGTATCGCTATTAGTATTGTGCTATTGTGCCAAAATTACAATATTATATGGTCAATCGTAATCATTTGCAATTTGGAAGACCCCTCTGCTGATATGTAAACGACTCCTTATACTAACTTGATTTGCATGTAGCAAACCGCGTGATGTTTATTGATCATCAGTTCGATAGGACGATAGTTATGAGAAAAGCTACAAAACTACAATTTCCATTACCAAAGTTTTAGAACTAAACGCTTGATTGAGGGTTCAGAACTTTATTTGAATAACAGGGCCTCCCACGGATTGAACAGTTTTGTGCGGAGAAAGAAGTGAAGAGAGTACGAAGCCAAAGAGTTCTCCGACAATTATTCCAGCCAGCCTCGCCGCAGCAACGCCAACAGCAAGCAGGGACTTATCCATGCAACATATATAAGTATATACAACGCTGACCCAGAATGGACATGCCACGGTACCACTATAATATTTGCTTCGATTCTCATTTCTCCGTGATACTGATAGCACTAGCAGTAGCAGAATTTGCTGCTTGTAATTCCTGGGCGTTGCTGAACCTGTCATTCCGCCCTATCTGCTATAGGCATATTTTTAATCGCCATAATATGTTCAATGTTAAATCAATGTGTTTAACTTAATAAATACAAAAGCCTGAGCGAGGTTACCCAGGTAAATTAATCTTTGCAAGTTGAATTTGCGTTTCTGATTCTGAAACTACTCTCTGCACTGGTAATTGTATTTAAAAGGGAACACAAAATGATGTAGGTACGTGACCAAAATTATTCCCCGCGCGACGCGATAAGATTCTCTTTCAGCATTCAGTTTCAGTTAATTCTGGGTAATTCGCGCGTAAAATCATATTGGCACGTGTGCGTTCCATGTTCTCAGAATTAGGCAACGGTAAGTTTATAATCTTTAACTTTAACTGTTTGGAAACAGGTGTTGTTATTTTATGCTGGGAATCCCAAAAAGTGCTTGATCGGCCAGTTCATCATTGTGTCTCGCTAAATACTTGGCTAGTTTCATTATGCTTCGACTAATCATCACTGTTGGCTTGGGGATGGTATTCAACTGTTGAGGGCCTACTGTAACAGCCATTAATACGCTTATAGTTTTCAGACAGCTACTAACCGATATCCAATGGGTCTCAGCCATAGAACAATACAGGCTCAATTCGGTGGCTCGGAAAAGTATAATCTATAATATTGAAAGGTTCATGCGCAAATTTACCTAGTTTAGCCGTCATTGATTAGGTACAGACCGACGGAATTGCTCATCAGCAGATCTTGCGCTTCCGCTGCTGTATCGGACGTCTGTGATCAAAGCAGTAAAGTCGACCTCCCATAAATTGACAACAGGATGTCCCCTGATTCTCCTAGGTTTCTGGATAGAAGTCGACTATTTATGCTCAATTCTCGAGCCGATAATAGTCTTGCTTAGATTTTCAGACAATAGTCTTAAGATTCCTGTTGGTTTCATCGGTGTAATTTATTACAAATATTATCTGTTCACCTTAAAGTTAGCAAATTTTGCTTTTCGCAATTGAAACTATAAAAGCGATATGATTAGTCTTCAAGTCTTGCCAACAAAAGGTGGCTCGAGCTCCATTCCCCCCTACATTCAGTAGGGTTTTGTGTTCACCCGGCTTATATATCAGGGATATGATAAACACACGAATCAGGATGTCTGGAAGGAGTTTCTAGATGTCATGGACACGTGGTGTGACGGCGCAACAAAGAAGAAGATACTTTAATTTCGCAGTACACGTTCTACCGAGAGAAAAGAGGCTTATTCTCTACTGACGCTGCCTCAAGTTTTAGCCAAGATTCTGACGGTCCAGTCTCTTGGTGGAGCAACTTCGGTTGAGAGGTACCCGAACTACAGAGTTTTCCAATGAAAGCGCTGTCGCAATCGACATCAGCCTCACCC